AGATTGCAAGGAGAATTCTACTAAATAGTTTTACATCAATTAAGTCATACTTTATAGGATAGAGTACGCGTTGGAAAGGTATTTTCTTTTCTTTTCTTTTTTTTAAGTTGAATGGATATGCTTTTATAAGTAAAAGAAAATATGTACACAAATGCCCCGGAACATTCTCCAGAAGCACAAACAGATTACAACAAGATCACCAATTAAGACCATTACAAGAAAACAACATATCTATCAAGAATTCCAGCACACTTCTTAATTAAATTAAACTTCATAATCTGCCCCACTCTTAAGATTTAATGAAGCAAATCTTGCTTTAACTCAACTCTTAATCAGCCTAATAATGAGTTGTAAAGGAGATGACATGTTTCTAAATGGCCTTGCATTTCTTTCCTAACAAATGTAGTATATAGCAGCTGAGAGGAGGAGTTTGTGTGTGATGAAATAACCATGAGTCCCAAGTGTTAGAACACCGATCAATGACCTTGATCTCTCTATCTGTTAGGTTTGATATTGTAGAAGACTGCAGCATCTTGTATGAACTCCCATATAACACAACATTAATTGCACCTAAAGAAAATGAGATCTAGTTAATCCCAATCAACAAGACAAAGATAACATGCATTAGTGTAACGTTTGTGCATCATTGGTTTAGAATCCGAGATATAGAGTCTATCTCTGAGTGCCAACCAAACAATATGCCCATGCTTTGAAATGTGATACTTAAACCAAATGATATGATCGATGCCAAACAAATAATTTTCATGGAGGTGTATAATATTTCATAGTAAACGTGTGACAGTAATCCGTTAGAGCACTTGGTAATCATTGTGCACTTGATAATCATTGTCTCAAATAAGGTATTAATTGTTGTAGGAGGTTCAATGCTATGGAGTTGAGATGTTAACAAACAATTAATATACACATAAAGTGAGTAGCTAAAATAGAGAGAAAAAATGATGAGTGGTAAGATAAAAAATGATATAATTATAATGGAACATAATCTCACACACTTGTGAGATGGTTGAAGTAATACCCATATGACAGAGAGAAAATATCACAAATGCAATTAAGATTATTTAAACATGTGCAAAAAAAAAGATAATTAAGTACTTATACAATTGGAAAGAGTGATATGATTGATGTTGAAGATACTAATTTGGAAAGAATCAGCTGGAAGATTAAAATTAACGCGGTATATAGAGTTCATAAGAAGACATGTGATTCGGCTGACTATTTAAGTTGAATTTTTTTAAAAAAATTAGATAATTCTGGTCCATTAATACTTGATTGACTAGTTAAATTCAGATTATTGGATTGAAAAAATGTCCCCATAAGAATGTATTAATATATTACAAATAAAATATCAACATGAATTTTTATTGGAGTAGTCCACCACATGTTAAAAGGATAAAAATCATTTAATAATTTCTCATTTATGTATCAGATAAAGCAGAGAGTTTTGATTGAGAAAAATACCGTGTGTCTAAATACTCTCAAGTATTATAAAATTTCTCTCTCAAATTGAAAAGGAATATATAAAATAAAAGAAAAAAGTTTAGTTGAGTAATATCAATATATTATATAAATATAGATGATGACATATTTGATTAATATTTTATCCTATAACCATAAATTAAGACTTGTACATAGCTTTTAAATTTTCATTTATTTCACCACATATTGAAAATGAAATGATAGAAAAAAACAAATTAAGATCAATCTTTTACCATGTCAATATCCCGGAAATCATTGCACCCCTCTTGTGATTCTCAAGTACTTAGACCTAGAAGAAAAAACTTAGGATAATGTTTCAAAATATGTTAGATATCTGTGGGTTGGTCAAACAATAATATTAACATCATTGACATTGTCCACCATATATACGAGTATATATATATATATATATATATGTCACAGCTTAATTATAGATAAATATACATGCGCGTGGGCCCACCGTTGACATTGACCATATTCCCACTTTTGATATTTGTCGCTTCAATCCACAAAATTGCTCTAGCAGTAGTGCCTTGAGGCTTGGTACTTGGAAATTCACTCTGACATGTCACCTTGTGGACTCTGCATATTGTGCAATGTATAAGGTGAGCCTCCCATTTTAGACTACCATGTTGTTCTGTTCACAAAGACTAAATTATGTTGTAGCACTATGATTTGGTTCCCTTCTAAGCTGTCAATTATGTTATGGAAATTATTATTTTATGAACTAATACACCAACTTAATAAAAATATAATTAATAGGAAAAGTAAGTTTTGCAAATATATAAACACCCGTGTAATATAAGTTATTGCATGTGAAGAATGTAATAAAATAAAATATAATAATTATAAAGTAAAGTTAAAGCAAAGCTGACTTAACGTAGAAAGGCATGTATAAATCACGTTGATCAAAACTTGATAATTTTGTATATGAGAAAAGTGTTAAAAGATACAACCAGTTCTCAGCAGTGCCTCTTAAATATGCACGATTACATAAAGGCAAAAGAACAAAGTCTCTATATGTTGAAGTTGCCTCAAAAATATACATGAATAATATGGAAATATAACTCAAAGATAAATAGAAAAGAATAATTGTTTGTCTGTAGATACATCTCTCTTCTTTTGGACTAACCAAATTGGAATAAATGAGCATAGAGTGGGGGCACTTAAAACCTGACCTTAAACTACTCGGGCAATACCATCACACTTATTCATGACTTTGTATTTTTAATTTGATTGGTGGGTATTTGGTCACGTGGATTTATTCATTGAGAAAAGAAATAGTTAATTATCAATTAAGAAGAAATTCAAATTTTTGAGATGGGGAAAGGCTTAATAAGCCTTTTTTCTTTAACGTGGATTTATTAATTGAGAAAACAAATGGTTATCAATTAAGATGAAATTCAAAATATTGAGATTGGGGAGGGCTTTATTATGAAATAAGCCTGTTTTTTTTTTTTTTTTTGTTAAAAAAGTTAATAGGCCTAGTTAATACATGTGCTACTTAGTAAGTCCAACATGTAAATACCGAAAAGAATTAAAATCCATGGCATAAATTAATAGTCACAAAAATATGTCTAAAACGTGTACTTAAATACACAAATATATATATATATATGAAAATTCAACCGTCCTAACCAAAAAGGGTATAAATAGATGATCAGTGGGTCCATTGTGAGTTTCATTATGGGATTTACATGTAAGGGATGAGATTGAAAACTCACTACGATAAAGACTTTCTAGATGTTTCGTATATACTCCCCGTAAAAAAAATCTGACCCCTTATAATCTTACAATAAAAAAAAAAATTCTTAGACTAATTATTCAATAGACCAAGTATAGAGACAAGTTGAACTCTTAGTTACAATCCTAACCTCAAAAGCCAATACTAATTTCAAAGATTGTGGCGCACCAACTTGCGATCTCTTTCTTCCTTTATTTTTATTTTTATCTATGTACGTTTGAGAGCATGTACATTAATGTGAGCTCACAGTTTGAAAATCACTGTCTTATCTTTCCAGAAATAGAAATAGAAATCAAAGAAATAATTTATGTTTGATTGAATTAATTGGGCATAATTAAGTTTAGTGATTTGGTGCGAATTCAAATCAAGTTGGATTGTTCCACAAGCATATATATATATATATATATATATATATACACGTGCTTGAGCTGGCTCATCATAACAAGTCTGCTATTCTCTTCTTTTGAATGCAATGTAGTTGAAACACGGGTCACTACGCGTTATCAGCACCAGAAACAAGAAGAAAGCTACTCCACAGAAGTGACCAAAGTGTCTCAATTGATCAGGTCAATTTTTGACCTATATTACAAAAGAGAATGAGAGGGAGAGAGAGAACAACTTGCTAAGACAGTGAAAATTTTCTTTTTGTACTTTTTTTTTCTTGAAAATGGTATATGATCATTTATTTGTTGGTACACAAATGAAAGTCTAATTTGGTAGCAAGATCATGAATGAAATGAAATGGCTCCTTTATTTTCTTATTTGGTTTAATATTTAAAGTGCGAATGATCATTTGATACTTTAAAATGAAAATTTATTCCACATCTAAATGGATAGAATAAAAAATTATTTCAATGAATGAAATTAATTCTTGGCCATCTCCACCACCACCGCCTTCCATAACAACCCCCACAACTGCCACCACAGCTGCCTTCCATCGCTGCTGCGGCCATGGCCTTCTGCCGCCATCTTCCATCGTCGCCAGCCTTCTACCACCATCATCTTTCATCGTTGCGCCCTCACTTCCACTGCCGTCACTTTCCACCACCACTACTTAGAATATAGATTACCATTTTATTCCTACATCATTTCATATTTACAACCAAATAATAGAAATAAGAATAACTATTCCTTTCCATTCTCATTCTATTTCATTCCTACATTTCAAACTAGGCCTTAGTCTTATGTCCCACATAGATTGGACAATCCTCCTAACTTAATTTGAATAATATCCTTATTGGTGGTTATTATTTGACATAGAAGTGCAAGTATCTTTTCTTTTAAAAAAAAAAAAATTGGGAGTAAATAAATGGGAATATTTAATAAATGAGAAACACTATACAACCCGAGCGGGCCTGGCCCAAGAAGTAGCCCAAAAATACAACCCAAAGGTGCCTCAAAGCCTAGACAACTCACAACCAACAACATATTAATTCAAGAGACCCATGTCTAGAAACTAACGAGTGGGCCAGCTCAAACCCAACTTGCGTCCAGCCATGATTTTTCATGGACTTGGATAACTATTTGAGTTGCGGTTGATAATATGTGTGTTTAGAAACCAAAACATAGTCTAAAAATGATGACATGGCACATTTGTGATCTGCTTGGACATTCTCGTGGAGAGATCCAAATTCTTGATCAAAACTAATCATAACTACGTGTTCTTAAAATATTACTCTGCCTGTTTCAAGAAACTCTCAAAGCATGCCATTTTGGAGGTATTCAGAGAGGAACGTGAGGGAGAGTGAGATGGTATATTATGGGGGATGATGACTCCAATTTTAGGGTTTTATTGAAGTGGGATCATACCAAGTACTTCTACATTGGTGACCATTCGGAGACTCTTTTGTGGGATTTCATTCACTCATTTGATATGTGGTTTGGCGGAGCTGATCAAATTTTGATGTCTGATTTTGGAGTTTCTTCAACTGCTCACAAGGGTCTTCATCATGTAATCATTTTTTTTCCCCCCTATCTATATACACTCAAATGCCATTACTTGATTATTCTATTACTATATCAATTTTCCAATAATCCATTACTTCAATAGATCAATGTTAGCCAAGAATTGCTCAAATTTCAAGGAAGAAAATGTGGTCAGTTTGTTAAATTCATTCTGCTTGTATCTCTAGGTAAGCTAGTTATTAACTTACTAATCTGTGAGAAGTATGGAACTAACAAGCGAGTTACTATTCGATATTGGTTATGTACGGTCTATACTAGATGCTAGGACATAGAACAAGCATTTGACATTATTTTTGCATTAGTTGCGAATTACGTCTAGCTCCATTTTCAACCAAAACTGTCGCCAAAAACACAATAGCCTAACTTTAGAGGTTTTTATGATTTATTGACAATATCATGTACAGATATCTTCCTTCTGGGCAACAATAAGAAACTTTACCAATCCAAATTCACAAAAATGTCATAAAGTTCCTTCAAACATAAACTCCTGTGCAGGGAACTACTGTACAGAATCTCCCACGTGTTTGTAAACATGCCTCACTTAGTCAATGACACATTAAGCCTAAACCCACCAAATTGGCTGTATTGGTGTTACATGAACCATGGTACTTAGGCAGAAATGCCTAGCCGAACAACCTGACCGAGCATCACTTCATCCCTTGGATGCAAAGGGGATCTGGGTCCCACTGCATTGCATCCAAATGATGCACATGCATCAGCTAGCCTGTTCAGTTGGTTTTTCTGGCCAAGTATCATTTTTCGCGTTACGTAAGGCATTTCAAGTTTCTATCCTAAGAATATTTATAAATTAATGAAGGATATTGAACGCGGCCAGTGTAGCTGCTTATAATTAATATCAAGCAATTTGTAAGTGTAAGTGTTGGTGTGATGTAATTTGGAAAGCAAATATGTTGCATATATAAGATGTATGAGCTGTGTTTAATTAGCAGTTATTTTCTTTATCAAATGCCATCTCCTTCTTTTGTCCCTTCTAAATTACTAGACATTTATAAGGAGTCCATTTGTATGGTCCATCCCACCATTAAAGAACTAAAAATATTTACTGATGTGTATGTTGACATATATAATATACTCTGTTATTTATATAACCCTGCTTATACAAATGTTGATAAGTATTTTTAGTTTCTTAGTTGATACTCACGTACCTTCTCCTCACGGAATTGTTTGCACTCAAGAGAATTCAAACCTTAGACCTGATACTTCCTGAAGCACTAAGGCTAAGTTCTTACCCATTTACAGGGAAGGAGGGAGTTAAGGCCCAGAGGCTACGTGGCCCCTTGGATTTTCTCCCTCTCTTATATTCTATAAATTTCATCCCAAAAATATCACTCTTTCTCTCTCTATATATGTATACTCCTAAATATTAACTTATATATTGTAAATCCCCCCACCCCCCCCCCCCCCCCCCCCCCCCCCCCCCAAAAAAAAAAATCCCTGCCACTGTTTAAATAGGGATACTTAACATCATGGTCATATGGACTTTAGGTAACTGTAATAATTAGATATGCTAATTCACATGTCAGATTCTATATGCCTTTTACTTTAATTATTTGGCATGCTAATTAACATATACTTTTTTAATAATTTCAATTAGATTAAATTATGATATTAACTTATTTGTCAACCATATATATGTTTTTACAATACATATTAGTAACGTGCCGATGACCAACACCATATAATAATTTCTCCTATGCAACGATCAACTGTTGCAAACTAGAGAGAAAAGTTCAACTTGTCATTCATGAAAAAATCTCAAAAATTATTATGAGGGGTAAATTGCTTTTTGATAGAAAAAGTCGAATGTTTTGCCATGGGGACACAAATGGCAACAACAAAGGCTTTGTAGCATATAAAGCACTTAGTAGCGACAAGAACTTATATCTAAGCGCAACTGGTTTGCGTTTGGCAATTAAAAAATTACTCCATTCAACATTACTGGTTTATACTCAGTAGTCACATCGAAAGAGCAGATAAACAAATTCTGATCTATTTTTTAATGGAAAGTTTTCCCAAAATAGTTATGCAAAATTGAAAAAATTTCATTGACAGTAAACAAAATATGGCATAGCATGAAATATTTTCCTCTAGAAACGCTCACCAGTTTTAAGCTTAATTGCTTAGAGAATTAATTACAAGGATATTGAGTTAAGAAAACTAGCTCCTTGAACAAAATGAAGTCTGAATCCAACACTTATTTAGTCCATTGATGGGAATATGGATACGAGAGAATGTCCACATCCTTCGTACTAAAATAAGCATGAAAATATATACTGGCTGAGGAATTGTTTCCTAGACCTTCTTTAATTTGAGATCTGCAACACCCCCATGTCAATCTTAGTGCTTATTCTAGTGGTAAATCCCAATGCTAAGTATGGGAGCACGAATTTATGTCAATGGGAGATTTCTGTGAATCAAATCATTTTCCTGCTACAAAAACATTTAAATTTGGCAGAGAATACTAGTACATCAACCGACTCACAACATTGCGAGTACTCACAGCCCTTTGTGGAGGTTGAAATACAATTTTCCTTTTTGCCAATAATTTTTTGAAGAGTTTCTAGTCATCGTTGTTTCATAAAATCCAGGACTGCCATTCATTTTTATCAAAATTAAATTAATAATCAGCCAACAAAGTCGATTTTGAATACCATGATATAGAAACATATATCCCAAGCATTTTATATATTCACTTATATTTTTTGAGCAATAGAAAGTTTCACACCACCACCCTCTTAGCCTGGTGGTTCTCTGATGCCATTTCCTGCAATTGCAGGATCAAACCCGGCCATAGCTTAGCTCTAGCTACAACATATTCAGGGGCCAAATGTGTAATTTCGATGGATATAAGGATATCCAACAGGTACATTCTAGCTAGAAAATATATATATATACATATATATATATGAAAACTATGTACACCTTCCTAGGATTCTCTTCTGATAATTCCAATAGAAACAGCCACACAATCTCCTTGTTTTCATCTTCTACAATGCATGTACTGATCAAACATCAATAGCTGTGCTTGGGGGAAAATAAAACATCAATAGCTGTACGAGGATCTTATTACTAGCAGTCACTATTAAAAAATCTAGTATATGTCACATTTCCATCTGTGTGACAACTGACAACCTTTCCTAGCTGATATATGAGCCACCTAGCTTACACATTTAATTTGCCTAATGGCTTATATTCAATTCTGCAATATTAATCTTCTCCTCATATATGTTCTTTTGTTCTTCAGATGTGAAATCGCTGATGGTGATCCTTCAACCGGCTTCAATGGAGCCGAGAGGGACGCTCTTTTGGCTCTCAAGGCCGGATTCAACCATCCTTTCCTCAACAACAACTGGACCACTAATCCCCAAATGTGCTACATGAACAAAACTCCAGGGTGGTATGGTATTAAATTTCTCAGTAATCGTGTGACCGGATTATTGTTGGAAAATATGGGGCTAACCGGGACAGTCAAGGCTGATGCACTAGTGAACCTCACTGAGTTGTCCGTCCTAAGTTTCAAGAACAATTCAATTTCAGGAAATCTAATGGATTTCTCATACAATTACAAGTTGACACAAATTGACTTGTCAAGAAACGAGTTTGAAGGTCCTATATCAGCCTCACTTCTGACCCTCAATTTGTTGGAGTCACTGCAGCTTCAAGACAACAATTTAGTGGGTTCAATCCCAAACTTCAATCAGTCCAGCTTGAGACAATTCAATGTATCAAACAACCACCTTACCGGTCCCATACCGGATGGTACTAAAGTCCTTCAATCATTCAACTCGTCATCATTTTCCGGTAACCCGGGGTTGTGTGGTCCGCCCTCTCTCACTGCCTGCGGCAACAGTACAAGTGAGAATGACACATCTAGTTCAAATGGAGGAGGCAAGCCAGTTTTCTCTTCAGGTTTGATTATTATAAATGTTTTTGCCTTCATAGTAATTGTGTTGCTTTTCACTATCTATTGCAAAAAGTCTATGAAGCTTAAGAAAAAAATAGAGAAAAATAGGAATGCACAAGAGGGGGTACAAATGGATGAGAAAAAGATAGAGGAAGGAGAAGAAGAGAAAGGGAAGCTTATTTTCATGGGGGGTGAAGAGCGTTTTGAACTAGATGATCTCCTAAAAGCTTCTGCTGAGGGTTTGGGTAAAGGGAATTTTGGGAATTGTTATAAGGCCATGCTAGTGCACGGACCAGTCGTCGTCGTGAAGCGGCTAAGGGACTTGAGACCTTTGACCAGTGAAGAATTCACTGGACAAGTGCAAGTGATTGCTGATCAGAAGCACCCAAACTTGTTGCCCCTTGTTGCTTACTGCTATTCCAAAGAAGAGAAGCTGTTGTTGCATAGATTTGCATCGAAAGGAAACCTATATAATCGCATTCATAGTAAGTTTACTTGACCCTTCTTCATGGTTTTATCATTTTATATTCCTCCATTTGGTTGCTAAGAAAGTGATTATATACTGTGGGTATGCTTCCAAACTACTACTTATATATATATATTTGGTTTCTTTTCCATTATAATCTTGGTAATCTTTTGGTCCCTTTGACATGTAGATGCAAAAAAAAACCGAGACAAATGGCTAATCTATTATTTGAATATGAACTGTTAGATTATATACACATGTTGTACTCATTGTATCTTGTACTATTGGGTTATTTGAAAAAGGTCTTTCTTTGAAAGATTTACATCGTATATGGTACTGTAAATTTATTTTTTTCCTCACAACACTCTATTTTTTGCCAACTTATATATTCCCTGTAACTATAACAAACATCACTTTTTGCACTTTCTCCCTTCATCCTAAAATGAAATTAATTCTATATTAATGGCATACATAGGAGGAAGAGGGACGAGGGATCGGATTCCATTTCGGTTTAGGTCAAGGCTCTCCGTTGCTCACAGTGTAGCTCGAGCTTTGGAGTACTTACACCTCAACACCAAGTCACAAGCCATAGTCTTTCATGGCAACTTAAAATCAACAAATGTTCTTTTTGATGAAAATGAAATGGTACTTGTCTCCGACTATGGTCTCACCACGCTTATGGCCCTTCCACTTGCGGCTCAACGTATGGTTTCATACAAATCACCAGAATATCAAAGTCACAAGAAAGTGTCCGAGAAGTCTGATGTGTGGAGCTATGGCTGCCTTCTTCTTGAGCTATTGACAGGAAGGGTTTCGTCTCACTCGTCCCCACAAGGAAGGAATGGTGTTGATCTAGGCAGTTGGGTTCACCGGGCAGTTAGAGAAGAATGGACGGCTGAGATTTTCGACGTGGAAATATTGCAGCAGAGGAGTGCCAACCATGGGATGCTGAGACTGCTACAACTTGCCATAAAGTGTTGTGATAAATCGCCAGAGAAGTGGCCGGAGATGGGTGAGGTGGTGGGAGAGATTGAGAATGTAAAGGTCACTTACTCACCAGAAGAAGAAGATGACTTGTCCAGTGATCGATCATACACCGATGATTCCATGTCCGGACCTCCATCAGTGATTATTGGAGATGAGAGATGATTTTGTTATTATTGAAGCATTGTTAACATTAGAAAACAAAAATTGTTTGTAATTGTGACGGAAACAAAGTAATAAATGTGGGGTATGGCTTAAGTTTACTTTGGAATTGGCTAGTGGATGAGACAATAATCCTTGTTACTATGTTGATATATACAAAATAATAATAATTAGATTTTTGTCTAATGTTTTCTATGAATTAATGCAACTTTAATTGTTTTTTTCATTTTTTCTTATAGGTGGACATTCACTATAACCAAACCCAATTTTATTTAGGGAGAAGTGCAGAAAACACTTGAAGTATACTAGCACTTTTACCCCTATTTGGAAGAGTGTGCAATAAACACCCTTAATCTTTTGAAATTATGCAAAATTACCCCTCTGTCATAAATCTGACATGAATTAGTGCTGTAATACCTATTTTGCCCTTTTACTCTTCCCAAAACGCCCAAGGGGATATATATACTACAAATCTCATACTATAGGGGTATTTTGTGCACATTACCTTATATATATATATATAATTTAAATATTTTTTATTTTTATTTTTTTCTCTACATATACACCTTTATTATTTTCTTTCTCTATACTTCCTCTAGCATTTTTTTTTTTTTCTCTAGCATTGTATTTCTCTCTCTATTTTCAACTAGGGGCATACATATAATAATATTACATGGAATCTTCAACCTCTGAGTAAAGGCGAATGTTACTGGCATTGTAAAGTTAGAAATCCTTTAAAGATTTCAAATACAAAGAGAAACCCGGGTAGTAAGTTTTATGGTTGTGCAAACTATAGAACTGATTCATGTGGTTTTTTAAGGTAGAAAGATGAAGAATTGCCGAGTACTACTGTAAATTAGTATGTGATTTTATGACAGAGGTGCAAGAGTTGCAACGAGCTAAAGCACCCATGAGTGTGAAGGATGAAAAGTTATTGGAGCTATAAAATATGAGAGTAGACTTAAGAAAATAAGTGAAAAAAATGCTGAAGTTCAACCTTCGGTACCTACCGTTGCCGGAATAATAGTTAATTTATCAAAATAATCATCATAAACAAAACCCAGTTTCACCCTCAGCAAATGTACCACTTTCACCAAAATAAAAACCCATGTAGAACCATTTTCATCAGGTCATCCTAGTCAATAAGCAAGCAGCCTATACAAGTCATCCTAGTCATACCCTACAAAGTTCTGCATATGTTGTTGAGATACCAAATTCCATCAATAGTCCCTACAAACTGGCCAACAAGTAATGACCTGTAACATTAAACAAAGCATGAATAAGAACTCGATCAATGCAAACTGTCCTAAAAGTAAATGCAAATATGAGAAAAAAAATTTCAATAAATATATATTAAACTTCAATCTAAACTGTAACTAAACCAAAATCCATTCATTTTAAATCATTCAAATGGAGCCTTAAGTACAATCTTAAAATGAAAATGAAGAGAAATCATTTCTTATTTCCCATTTCCAATACCAAAAATGTCATCAATCATTACTGAACTCTCCTTAAACCACCAAAAACACACACACATACACACTAATATTTTCTTCATCAGATCTCAGTTCATTTCACATATTGAATGGAGATGCCCTCTTCTTACTTTCTTATTCATGTATTCTGGACACACACACAAACACACACACACATCACATAGACTCTTCTCTCTCTCTTATAAAGATTATTAATTTCCACATAACAGTCCTTAACATCGATCAAAGAAACAAACTTTTCATTATATAAAAAGGGAACATTAACTAAGAATTTCTATTCATGATCACACCACCTATTAAAAGCCAGCAAACGGAAATTAATCATATATATATATACCACCATAAAACTTGAAATTGGCCAAGAATCAATAACACCTCTGTAATATATGATCATGAATACTTCAATTTTGGGAGGTTAATTACAATACCCAATTATTTGAACCAGAAGCAAAAATAACATTTTCGAATTCTTAACATAATTTGCAAGTTATAATTAAGAACAGGGTTTAACCAGTTTGGCAATTACAATTCAATATAATACAATAAAATGCCACTAGTTTTGGCAATGTTAATTCAATGCAATGCCACACCAGTTTTTTTTTTTTTTTTTGATAAGTATCATAAGACTGCATGTATATATAACATAACTCATATTCTATGCTATGTTTAGAAAGTATTACTACTACCCAAATACCAAATATATCCTGAAAATAAATTAATAGGAAAAAGGGTAAGAAGAGGTGAAATTAACTCTAATGCAAAAATCAAGTTTCCTAGTTTTTAAGTGTAAGAAGAGGTGAAAAAAATGAGAAGAATGAGAATTGTACAAGTTTTCAAGTTAGTGCAAAATTCAGCTATTTTTATGAGATGACACTACAAACACTTAAAAAAAAAAATAAAAAGCAAAGAAGAAGAAAAAAAATTTAATAAGAGTAACAGCCAATGCAAGACCATAAATATCTGCTGATACAACAAAAACTTATTTTCTGACTCAAATTAAAATTTAAGAAAAAACAAAAACTCATTTTCTGACTCAAGAAGGAGACAGATGCAGGGGTTTGTATTTGAATTTTCTGACTCATTTTCTAATAGAGTAAAAAAAAAAAAAAAAAACTCTAAAGGTCTATCACAGCTAATACAACAAAAACTCATTTTCTGACTCAAACTAAAATTTAAGAAACAACAAAAACTCATTTTCTGACTCAAGAAAGAGACAGATGCAGGAGACACATGTAGGGGTTTGCATTTGAATAACACGGACATGTACATCAAATCAATATCCAGTTCAGCAGTCAAAACTAGGCTCTTTGGTCGCTAATCAAGAAAGAAAAAAAAAACCCAAATTGAGACAGAAAAAAAAACCCAAATTAAGAGATAAAAAAAACCCTAATCGAGAGAGAAAAAATAAACCCAAATCGAGGGACAGAAAACCCCTACATAATCTAAATATTTAATCGGTAATATACATGAGAATATACCTACTGTGCTCAGTTTCTGAATCGACGAAGTGGATGATCACTCTGTCAAGAACGTGAGATCGCGATCGCGTCGCGATCGCCATCGCCATCGAAACCTAGGGCTAGGGTTTGTTGCCTCTTTCTCTCAAGAACGCGAGGCAGATGAGAGAGGAGACGACAGAGGACTTCTAAAATGTTGGAATGTGGCCAAAACGACGACGTCACTATCCATTGTCCTTTTTGGTCTTTTTATAAAATTTTGTATTTTTATATATTTTAAAAAATTATTGACTAAGGGCATTTTAGTCAAGTTTAACTTTAAATGTGTGGGGGACTTAATTGTACCAAATTGAAATTTGAGGAGTATTTTTTGCACGAGAGGAGTGTGATATACATTATATACATATTTATGGGGTATTTTTTGCACTTGACCTTTTTATTTATTATAGGTGGACATTCATTATGAACAAACTCAATTCATATGTAGAATTAGGGGATTTCTTACCTATGTAGAATAAAAGAGGATAAAAGAGGGACTTCTGAATTAACGGTCCTTTCATATTCTAAATAATTTCTCTTGATGAAATTAGTTTCCTTCTATAAAAAAAAGAAAAAGAAAAAAAAGTTGATCAACATTCAAAGATAATAATAATAATAATAATAATAATAATAATAATAATAATAATGATAATGAAGAAAGTTAAATAATTATATCAAAAGCAGATCAAGCATTTTATAAGCGGAGAGAAGTACAAAGGAATGAATACTTAACATTCGTTATGCATGTAGTAAAAGCATGAAGATGAGTGTCGCTATGCATGTATTAAAAGCATGAAGATGAGCTTTAAAATAAAAATGTAATGAATAAACAATTGTTATCATAACTTAATGATAGTCACTAATAATCTAGAAGTTGTTTTAACTGCATATTGAGACCTAGCTGCAAAATAGATTGTTTCTGCTGCATGTTATTATTATATATACTACTTTTATCGATTTCTCACTATTGGCGAATTTATTATTTTGTACGTAAATGTTATTCGGTATATCCTGATATCATCAACCCTATAGTGTAGCTTAGCTGGTTAGGTCTTGGGTTTGCTCCTCAATGGTCACCAATTCGAGTCTCCTCATAGCCACTGGAGGCTTGCCCAATTGTTAACTTTCAGTTTCGTGAGATTAGTCGAGGCCAACGCAAGCTGGCTTGGACACCCACTATTGTCATAAATAAAAAATATATCACGGTATCATCTTTCTGATTTTTTATATTCAGAGGGGTTCTTTAGTGATATAAAATAAATTTTTTGTGAGATAGAGAATTTAATTTTAAGTTTAATAAACAAATAATTATTATTAATGCCTAAATCGCTCTCCACAATTTTATTAGGAGGAAGATTAAAACGATAACTAATGTAACATGATAGTATAGAGATAGACATCGAATATGGACCGGATCACGGTCAATCCGATCCGAATCCGATAAGCATAATAAGCAATCCGATCCGATCCGACAATCCGACGGATTCTTGCATAGTCGATCCATATCCGAAATTCACTCTATCGGATGTCCGATCCGGTAAGTCTGATCCGTTTACTAAAACACAATCAAGCAAATTGATACAAAATTAGGGTAACAAAGAGAGAGATAAATGGGTTTTGTATCAAAAAAGGAAAAAGAGAGAGATATGGAAGAAGAACATGAAAAAGGAAAAAAATGACGAGGTAACTTTTACTGAAAAATTAGGGCTTTCTAATTAAATTAAAGAATCCACAAAGAAAAATTTCTTACTCACAGAACGTACTTGAGTTATACCGGGAATGCTATGAATCTATGATTTCAAAATAGAAGACAGGGTGGACATTTGTAAGAAAAGAAAAAGGACAAATAGAAGAAAAAAAGAGAGAAAATAACTAACAAGAAATTACTCCGGCAGTTGCTGACTCCCCCTTCTCCCTTCTGACAATAGATCGATGACTTGCCCTTCACCAGCGTTTATCTGACTGGAAACACAAATGCAATACAGACTTTACAGTGACCTGAGTTTTGTTTTTGTGGCTTGAATCAATAGGCAAAAGATTTATTACTATAAGGGTGGAAACACGGTAGTATTGTATATATAACATTGTGATTAATTTAATTTTTTATTATTAAATCTATAGAAATCTTTTATGATATATATAATAATATATATCTATAATAAAATATAAATATAATAATATATTATTTTAATCTGATCGGATTATTAACGGATCGGATCAACCTAATCCAAATCCGATTTGTTAAGTTATCGGGTTATCGGATTTGATGCTAGATCCATATCCGACTAAACGGATCGGATTCGGATCGAATTCGGATCAAAATCCGATCCATTGACAAGTTTATATAGGGATATGAGTCACATATTTAATTCACAAATAGTACGAGTTAATCAAGATAGGGTTGTTACGAAGTTGATACTTAAATAAACATATTATTTTATTTTATTAATAACGAGATGGAATTGGTATAAAAAAAATGACAAAATAATTAATTCGTAATTAAAAAATTTAAGCAAATGGTTTGTCAAATAAAAATAAATAAATCATCTACTATTTTCTGTTTTGTAATGCCAAAAAGCCTCAGTGTTGTACATATATTATCTAATTCTATAAACTATATACTGTAATATTTTCATATTATAAATAAAAAATCATCAAAATTGCTATACACCTAACAAATTAAAATTTTAATTTATTTGTTTGGCCACATTTTTTCGCCCCCGCTCTCTCACCAACAGTGTGACAGGTAATAGCGAACTCTAATCCGCTTGTTTCTTCTCCTTCTTCATCCATCATCATATTCTTCCTCTCCCAACGATAAAACACCCCAAATCCATTTTCAACAGGTCAATTAGAAACAAATACTCATTTTTAGTCAGCAGATTCAATTAAACCAATCACCATCCAAGCAGAGAGGGTGATAGAGTGTGCCATAACCAGCTAATTGAGGATCATGTTTGCTATGGTAATTAGTTTCCTCCTATATATCATATTATGACAATAAATCATAAATCCTGAAAGAAAAAAAGAAAAGAAAAAAAAAAATGTTGATCAGACATTCAAAGGTAATAATAAAAATAATAATAATAATAAAGAAAGTTAAATAATTATATCCGTTTAAAGTTAAAAGCGGAGAAAAGTATAAAGAAATGAATACTTAACATTCGTTATGCATGTATTAAAAACATGAAGATGGGGTTTAAAATAAAAATGTAATGAATAAACAATTGTGCGTTGTTATTATTATATATACTACTCGTATCTATTATGTATATCAATTTGTCACTATAGGCGAATTTATTATTTTGTAAATAAATATTACTCGGTATATCTAGGTATCATCTTTCAGATTTTTTATAATCAACGGTTCTTTAGTGTTATAAAATAAATTTTTGGTGTGATAAAGAATCTTACAAAAATATATTTAATTTTAAGTTTAATAAACAAATTATTATTATTAATGCAATTTTATTAGGAGGAAGATTAAAACGATAACTAATGTAACATGATAGTATTAATATATGAGTCACATATTTAATTCACAAACAATATGAGTTATTCTAGATAGAGTTGTTACGAAGTTGATACTTAATTAAATATATTATTTTATTTTATTTATGACGAGATGGAATTGCTATAAAAAAAATGACAAAATAATTAATTAGTAATTAAAAATTTTAAGCAAATGGTTTGTAAAAAAAAAAAAAAAATCATCTACTATTTTTTGTTTTGTAATGCAAAAAAGCCTACATATATTATCTAATTCTATAAACTATATAATATTTTCATATTATAAATAAAAAATCATCAAAATTGCTATATACCTAATCTCTAATGGATTCTTCGAATTCAGGCTCTCCGAATTTGCCACATCAGCATTTTCTCATAGCCATGTCAGCATTTCCCATAGCCACGTCATCATTTTAGAATCTCCAAATTTTAGCTATCGGATGTACTTCAATGATGCATTTTCGTTCTCCAAAAATATTAATATTTTAAAATTTTAAAATTAAATTTATTTTTTAACTTTTTCCTAACGACTATATTTATAACGACTATATTTTTCATGTTATATAAACAACCATTTGTTCATTCCATCATTATTACATTCATCTCAATTTATTCTAACAAAATATCAATTCACATTTTTTTCAATCTCAAAATTCCAATAGCTTCCTCATCACAATTTTTTCCTTTGTCAGGCTCTAATTCTTCATCATCTTCTTCATCATCCTCTTCATCAGATAACATTATTGACTCGATGATTCAACGTAATCAAGACGTCTTTCATGAGATTTTGAATTCAGTAAAGCCAGAGATATATAGTAGAGCTAGTTTTGAAACCACATAAGAGGCGGTATATTCATCGTGATCGAGAGGGAAGCCACCGTCAACTAATGAAAGTCTCCTTTGACGAGAATTGCACATATCCACCGGAATACTTTCACAGACGATTCAGGATGCAACGAAAACTATTTCTTCGTATCATGAATGATGTTAAAGCTTATGACGACTACTTCATCCAAAAAAGGGATGCAACAGGTTGTTTGGGGTTGTCTTCTATACAAAAGATGACAACTGCAATACATATACTCGTATATGATTGTGCAGCCGATCATTGTGATGAGTATATTAAAATCGGCGAGAGCACTGCTATTGAAGCCCTAATGACATTTTGTAAGGCTGTTATTGGTGTGTATAAGGAAGACTACATGCGTCCACCTAACGAAGCCGACATAGCACGACTACTTCAAGAAAGGGAGGAGAGAGGATTCCCGGGTATTCTTGATTCTATCGATTGTATGCACTAGGAGTGGAAGAATTGTCTAGTGGCATGGCATGGCACGCACAAATGACACTCTCATACGCCTACGCTCATATTAGAATCGATTGCCTCAAAAGATTTGTGGATCTGGTATGCATTCTTTAGAATGCCTGGTTCACACAATGATATTAATGTGCTGAATCATTTTTTGGTATTTGACAGTATTGTAACTGGCCAAATTCCTCTGGTTAATTTCGTTGTGAATGGGCATTACTATACAATGGGGTATTACCTATCTGATGGTACATACCCTAAGTGGACAACTTTAATGCAAACCATCCCGCACCCAACTACAACAAAAGAACAACTTGTTGCTTAGAGACAGGAGGCCTGTAGTAAAGACGTGGAAAGAGCTTTTGGGGTCTTGCAGAGCAAGTGGGCAATAACGTAAGGACCAGTGCGTTTTTGGGATAAAGGGGACTTATGTCGTATAATAAAAACGTGTATCATCCTTCACAACATGATCATTGAAGATGAGCGCCATGCCAATATTGGAAGATGGATTCCGCCACCAGAGGAGACAATCTCGATTCCCACTTTAATTCAAAATCCATCAGTCTTAGCAGCACACATGTACTCTCGCCAAGTCCAAATTCGCAACAAAGAGACAAATACGCGGTTGAGGAAAGATTTAATTGAAAATTTATGGAACCGCTTTGGCGAAGCACGTGTTTAATTTATGCTGCATTATTTTATTTTTAAATTGTTATGAAGTTTATGTAATGGAATATTTATTGTGTAATGTTTTATTTTGAAAAAAATAATTAAATTGTTTGTTGATTAAATTATTTAGCTAATATGTATGAAATCTTGATTAATATCATTTGATTTATTAATTTATAGTAAAAACAAAGACATATTTTTTTTAATAAAAAAATCATATTTGAAATAAACAATGAAAGGTTTCTAATATCATTTGAAATAAACAATGAAAGATTTTTTTTAAAAAAATAAATAAATATGTATATAATTATTTTTTAAAAAGCAAAAAATTCAAAAAATAAGTTTTTGTGCCAATATAGCCGTTAAGGCACTGTTTGGGTCAGCCAAACAGTGCCTAAAACGGCTATATGTCAGTAAGAATATTTTAAAAAGCAAATTTAAAAAAAAAAAGCACTTTTATCTATTTTTTAAAAACTTTTTTTAGCCCAAAAAAGCCTTTAAGGCACTAATAGTGCCTTAACGGCTCTTTGGTTTAATTATTTTGAGGAAAAAAAAAAAAAAGACCAAAATCAGCCAAGAAACTTATTTTTTCCTTTTTTTTTTCAGGCAAACACGCCCTTACAACAGTGTTTTGGGCTAAATGTCTGATTTGGGCCAAAATAAAAAAAATTGAAAGAAAATGGATGCGGGCTCGCATGGCAGGCCCGCGAATCGCCTACAGGGCCGCGGTATTCCGCGACCCATTCCGCTATCCAATGGGTGGGGCCAATTTTTGGCTACCCCGTCCAATCTATAAATGTGGCCCAAAATCGCCGGAGTTCTGTCCATTGGATCTGCGAACAATTTGGTCACATTTTTTCGCCCCCTCCCACCAATGGTGTGATAGGTAATAGCGAACTCTAATCTGCTTTGTTTCTTCTCCTTTTTCATCCATCACCATATTCTTCCTCTCCCAACTACAAAACACTCCAAATCCATTTTCAACAGGTCAGTTAGAAACAAATACTCATCTTTAATCCGCAGACTCAATTAAACCAATCTCCATCCAATCACGGAGAGGAAGTGACAGAGTGTGCCCTAACCAGCGAATTGAGGATCATGTTTGCTACGACTTCCATTAGAGGTAGAGTTCGCGGGTTTTCCAACATCCTCTGTAACAAATCCCAACTCAACCCCATCAGAAGGTGATTTTTTTTTTTTTTTTTTCTTGAATTCTTTCTCACATTTCATAAAAATTTCTATTGGTCGATTGTATTTTTACTTGTGGTTTAATTTTCATTTGGTTGCCCAAAAATGTAGGAAATTTTAAGAAAGAAAAATCTTGAATATCAATTGCTAAAGCATCATACTGAATTCCAAAATTTCATATTATTTTGTTGTCTTTCCTTCACTTTCCTCAGCGAACAGTTGGTGAGTTGGTTTAGTCTTGAAACTTTGATTCTTTAGAACTGACATTTCATGATGTTTTTTAAATTTCATAAGAGTGTGATTGGGTCTAGAGAATTTGAATTCAAACAGCAGAAGGGGATAAAAGATTCATTGTTTAGATTTGTTAAAGCTAGTCTGAGGTAATATATATATAGAAGCACATCAACCTAATCATTGGGTTTTAAATAGGGCTATGTGAACATAACTAAAACATCAATGTGAGGCATATCTTAGTGTGATTGGGTCTAGAGAATTTGAACTCAAAGAGCACAAGGGGATAGAAGATTTATTGTTTATATTTTTAGAGCTGGTCTGAGGTAATAAATTTTGTCCTCCATGACTTGACTTTAGAACCGCATCAACCTAATCATTGGGTTCTAAATAAGGCTATGTGAACATAACTAAAAGTCACTGGTAGTCATAGCTCCATTTCAATGACTCCTCTTTAAGTGACAAAAGAGATCTTGCCATGTAAGCTGAAAAAAGACTAGGCGCGCCATCTTATGGGTCATCTTTAGTTGATTAAGTCTACAAACATTGAGCTTGATTATCTGAGTTTAACTCATCTCTTTTTTGTTCTTTTATATTCACCATCATTTCTTAGAATTGAATGCTGAACTAGTAAAATAAAGATGTGATAAACTTGTTCTACTATGTGGGATCATAAGATGGTAGACATGGATCCTCTCTACACTAATGTGCCATGACAGTATAATTCATTAGTTACACATCAGAGGTGATTAACTAGAAGAAACTATGATTAGCAAGACATATATCAGTGAAAGAGAAGCCGTAATGAGACAAAAGGAATGTGTGCACTATTGTGCTCATATATTCCATTCCACGGCTCTAACTTCGGCTGTATTTCTAGCATGGAGTTAAATGTTTGTAGAAATATTATATCCTAATTGTCCATGAACCAATTTCAAAGTGCATCATTCTAGCAACTATTCAATAGTCAACAAAAAACAGGGAAAAAAAAAAAGGAAAGAATGAAAAAGAAATCAAAAACATAATCCGATTCTAGCCAAGAAACAGCGGACTACCCACTGAAGTCATAAATTGCAGAGAAACAACAATCAGACAGCATGTGATAATCAATTTGCAACCAAATCTACAAAATCATCGTAGCTCTAAAACAAAGAAGAAAGGAAGGGGGTCGACCTTAATCCAACAGTTACAGCATCCAAATAAAACAGGACAAGATTTCCTCACAAAAACTTTGAAGACCCACAAGACATTTATTCTTCAGAAAAAAATAGTATGAGGAAACCTTGACTTCTTTGTATCCATGTGTCTGAGTGACTACAGGGATATTAGATGAAGAGAAGAGTCTCAATTGAACAATCCCAAAGACATGCTTTTAAATTGTCACGTCATCTTGGTATTCATTGGAGAAGATCTTGCAATTCCTTTCTTGTCAATACACTGGCAACAGCCAAAACAGTTTGCTTAGCCTCTTTTATAGTCCTTTTACCGTCAAATTAACAGCAGTCCAGTCAATCAGAGAATTAAATTTCCAGCATGGCAGACAACAGTGCACTTAAAAAAAATATAGGTCCAAACCCTGCTAGTTAAAGAACAGTGGAGAAAATAGGTGTTGGATGTCTTCACATTTTTCTCTACAGAACACATCTCACTTTTTTAATGATACCATATAATGTCATTTTATCTTGAGAATGCCCCTTGAGGGGATGTTCCTTAAAAGAATAATTTTGAACTTGAAATACTCAACATGTCTGAATTATCTATACTTGTAATAATATAATGGAATAGATGCTGAAATCAATTTTGATTTTCTATAGAATCACTAAATTTTCTTTATTTTTTTGGCGTGAATGGTATTGTCATGTTTGGGGAGGTGCCAGGGTTCAAGTCTTGGTCAAAACATGGATGCATTTTAACATTCTAATTGTCATTACATTTAAAAGGAAAATACAATTTTAAGTCAAAGAAGGAGTAGTTAAGATATAAGTTTTCTCGAAGTTTTCTTCTACTTGTAGCATTTATTTACAAGATACCATTAACATACATTGGTAAAATTGTTCTAGGGAAAAATTGTGGAATTTGGTAGTCAAGTCGCATTTTCTTGTTACAGGTCTCCAGTGACTGATAATGTGTTCTTGATGCAGGAATTCTCTAGTATGGTTCTGTCTTCTAGTTCAAGATGTTCCAGATCTCTCGTTATTGTCTAAAACCACTTCATTTACTACTTATAGTACATACACAAACCAGAGGAAGTGCAAGCCAGAGGGACATTTCCTAGGAGTGCCATGTAAATCCTATCTATTCAATACTTTACTTCTGCAGAGATCATGTGTGTTTGAGCACCATAATGTTCATTTGAAATGGCTGCATGCTAGATACACAAGCAATGCATCAATTGAGCTGAAGACAGGGGATGATGTTGTTAGATTTAATATTGGTAAGCAGCTTGAGAAACGTGGATCTCCAAAAAAATGGAAGAAGACTGCTAAACATATTAAACGGAATGAACTCAGGCTCTATCGTTTGAAGGCAAAGAAAAAGATGACATCTCCAAATCCAGAAGTTAGGATTAGATACAAACTTGATAAGGTTGGAAACCGTGTCAATTTTCTCTTTTGTCAAAGATATAACTTCTTTCTCCAGAAATTTTCTGGAAATGCTTTTTTTTTTTTTTTTTCCCCCAATATTTGTGTATATATAAGGAAGTTTTTAATGCATTTTTATACCGTCTAAATTATACATAAATGTTTATAACTTACTTCATGTGTTCTAGAATTTTCATTTTATCCTTTCATTATGTTCTGGTCCATGGTTGTGTGCATGTGACCAAGTTCGGGTCAAAGTAATCTTGAAGCATTTGCACTGAGTGAACCACATAAACAGAAGCTTTTACTCTCTCTCTCAACTTTCTTCCTCATTTTTCTTATTCTGGAACCTGGACAAGAAGGTTTTCAGGTTGTCTTTTCTGGACAATACGAACCTTCTTAATGACCTGACCTCTACATATATGGAAAGTTGAATCGCATCATATTTGGGATATTCTGCTAGCTGCTTGTTTGTTTGTTTGTTTTTGGGTGAGTTTCAATGTATTGGTAGAGTTATTTAAACTTCATAATCACTTATAGCAGTTACAATTTGTGTATAAAATATTTTCAGGCCAAACGAAAGGAAGAATGGTTAATTGAGAAACTGAGAAAATTTGAGGTACCGAAGGACCCAGCAGAAACATATGATCCTGAAATTCTAACCGAGGAAGAGAGGTTTTATCTAAAGCGTACTGGCGAGAAAAAGAAGAATTATGTTCCAGTTGGGAGGCGGGGAGTATTTGGAGGTGTTGTTCTCAACATGCATCTTCATTGGAAGAAGCATGAGACTGTTAAGGTTATTTGCAAGCCTTGCAAGCCTGGACAGATTCACGAATATGCAGAAGAGCTTGCACGGCTGAGCAAAGGCATTGTGATTGATATAAAACCCAACAACACTATCATATTCTATAGGGGAAAGAATTATGTGCAGCCAAAAATTATGTCCCCTCCAGATACTCTATCTAAAGCCAAGGTACTTTCTGTTTTCCTTGTTTAATCATATCTTGAATCTATTTTTTTTGGTGAGAAAATAAATTAGCTTATGATGGATTCATAACCCGTTTTTCTTGACATAGTGATATTACTCCAAACTGTATACATTTTTCGTTTAAATGTATAATCAGGGATTAATTGTTATTTGCTAATGTTTAATGTGGATTGGGAGGTAGCTTATGCTGAATAGTTGGGACCCTAACATGTCATATTATTATCAACATGCCTTAGCAGCAAACATCTAAGTTACTATACATGTTAGGTTTAGCCAAATCGTAGCATGTTGCAATATCACCAAAATGCCTTGTTAGCAGGCAACCTGGCATAATCGTATTAATATCATATCCTAGGATGGTAATTTAATGGTCCTTACGTGGGAGGGAATAGTGGGAGGAAGGAAAAGGGTAGGATGGGTAGAGTTTTTATCATTGTAAAGGTGATGAATCTTCTATGACCAAGCAGAACAGGCAGTGTGTTCTATGTTGAATTCATTGTGATGTTTTTATTTTCGTTGCCCATTTGCTCTCTAGTGTTGCGCTGCCATGACCTTCCGTTTGGTTGCTTTGCAATTTCACATAATCATGAACCTTAATGTTTCATAGATTCTACGAGTTTTATTACAACATGATTTATCTTGAGCTGTAATAAACCCAGTCTTTTTTTTGTTCACTACAAAATTGTAGGCCTTGGAAAAATATAAATATGAGCAGTCCCTGGAGCATACGAGTCAGTTCATTGAGAAATTGGAGAAAGAGCTGGAAGAGTATCATAAGCACCTTGATAGGTACAGGAAAAGAAAGGAGAATGAAATGCAAGATTCTGTTGTTGATACTTGATGGTAAACCTCTGTTACATTTCTCTGAGAACTGATTATTTTATAAATATTAATAATTTCTACTTAATATTTTTGTTTTTTAGCTTTATGGTTTTTAGTATCTTCTTTGTTTTGAGATTTCATTTGCCTGAGGATCATAATGAATATTACTTAGGTAATTTTTACTTCTTGTCCTTGTTTTCCTTCATAGTTATCATCACTGTTCTGTTAAAGTTTAGATCCTTATTTGCTAGTCATGTTATCATTTTAATTGCACCTACCTTTTTTCCTACTTCTGTGATAGAGGTACTAACAGTGCTTCAGCTGACTGTGATTCTCATCTTCTTAGGAAGAAAATGATCTGGTCTTTATTTTCTTAAATTTTTTTCCTGTAGAAATGTGCACTATGAGAAAGTAATAGTGTTGTAGTCATGAAATCCCATTAGGCAAAGGAAAGCTGAACAGAAAAGAAAATGGGAATCAGGAAGCCTGAATTGCTGTAAATAGCCTCAGTTATTATATCCTCATTTTAAGCAGACTAACAACGGTGTTTAATGTACCTCTATACATTAATATTAACAATTAACAGTCTTCACTTCTGCTTTTTCCATTTTTCATCCTGCCAATTTGGACTGAAAGCTTTATCCTCATTGCAGTTCTTACAATGCTTCCACCAAATCCAGTAAACCTTCTAGTTGAAGCACTACAGTTGCTACTATAATGTTTATGATTTTCTCCGCCTTTTTTTTGTGATCCCAATACATTTTATCCTGCAAGATGGACATATTTTTCTCTCTTTTCTTCCTCCTTTTTGTGTGTGCTTTCTGTGATATATTCTCAAGTATATAAACAAATAAATGAAAAGACAGTCCTATATAACTAGAAGAGTATTGGTATTAGATTTATTTCTTTTGAGAATTTTAATGTAAATAGGATCTATTAAGGAAAAAGAGGTTAAATGTCAAGATCCACATTAATTCACTCTTGCAAATTTCCCATTGTTGTTGTTGGTATTATGTTAAATTGTTAATGCATCTGTTTTATCAATTCATACTGAAGGAATGCAAATTTTTTTTTTTTTTATTTTGGTTATATATTCTTGTCCATTTTCATTTCTTTGACATCAGTTACTTTAATTTCCTTCTTTTCAGGAATTTGGCAGGTATAATGGTGTAAATGATTAATCTCCCCACAATCCACTAGTTTTTGGAGGCTTTTAAAACAACGTGAACCTATGTTTAAATAATTTAACTTATACTCTTGCAGGCTAATATTTGTTACTTAAGCTATTTATCCATAAAATTTGATTTTGTTTTGATTTTTCATTTTTGAAATGATATCCATAATTTCTTAAGTACTATAGAATTTCTGTATGAACTAGCAAATGCTCAAGGTTTGGATAATTCAGGCTCTGTGAATATCAGGAACGGGATTTTTTTTTTTTTTAAAAAAAAAAAGAAGTTCATTAGGCATATGAATGGCAAGCAAAAAGTTTTTTGTCGCATTGTAATTTTAATTTTACAAGGTAGTTTATATATTAACTATTAAATGAGTCTCCTAGGGAACATCCAACTAAAAAGTTGAGGTGTTAAACGAATCATAGAGTTTGAGAGCTTAAAAAATCCTTGATGGTTGATTCTTAAATGGATTCCTTCTTGTACCCTTTCTCTTTTCTAATATGGTCCTTATATTCTGTCATAAGAAATGAATAAATCATCAAATGGTGGAAGAGTTAAGGAACCCTAGAGTGCATAAATGACAGTACTGTTTACATTGGCAATTTTGAGGTGATCGGGGAATGGGAAAGTCTGATAGCAATCTGGTTTTATGAAGGTTTGAAAAAATCAAAATCCAATGGTTGAAGGCATTTGCCTCCTAGTTCTTGAATTTTAAGAATCACTGCACTTAGAAGAACTTCTAGATTGGGAAGCGTGTGTTGAGTATACTTTCGCCGAAGTGATTTCTTGAGCTCAATAGAAGTCTTGTGGGCATGTGATTACTTCATGGATGTGAATTGGGAAGAAAGATAATTACCTAATTATAGGGAAACCTTTCTTTTTAACCTTCATCACTTACTGACAAATACAGTTGTACAAATAGGAGCTTAAATAATTATATAAAATTGGATGAAGATGAGATTTAAGAGAGAATTTTTCTTCTCTAGATTTCTTAGGATGCAAAATTCCAGAACTAGAATGAGAACTACAAGCTCAAAATATTTGATTGTGTGTCATTTTCTATAATTCTGAGATTAAAGAAAATGTAAAATCAAACAGAAAGATGGAAAGCACTCCATAAAATTGTTGATAAATTTGGAATTATCTTGAATCCCCCTATCATCAAATTTGATTGTTTATTAATTATTAGGTTGATCGTACATGAAACTATTAAAGTTGACAAATTATAGTGCGCTCTTGTTGATTTTTGAAAATCGGAACTCTTTGCTTGCACATTTTGAGATAAAGTGAAATTCTTGTAATACTAATAGAGATCCTGGAACTTCAATGCAGTATGGCTATTTTTGTGTATTCATTGCATTTGTTCAAGTCTTGAATATGAAGTAGATTTATAATGTGTTCAGAGAAAATATTCCAATGCAGGTTAGTGGTACCACACACACAATCGTGAGTCTCGACTCTGAAAGCTCAATCAGTAGGCAGCCCAATCATTGATTCAAACCTTACTCTCTCAAGGCGTGCATGTCCAACCCAAACATCCTAGAGAAGAAGACTCAAAGAATGAGTAAAAAAACTACCCGACTTCTATTTTTTTTGACGGAGTTGATAAATTCTTTCAATGTAACAGCTGATTTATTTGTTTTGCAGGACAATAATTATTGCAAGCAATCACTTAGTTTACCATGGGTTTTGTGGTAGTCGTATGGTGAAGGTAGATATGAACATTTCACGCACAAAATGGCCTCGTGATGAAATGATCTTTAGCTTTATACCGTGGCTGAAATTCCAACGCATGAGCTTTGATTGTGATGAGAACTAAGATACATAAACAAGCCTTTTTTTCTCAAGAACAAGGTGGGATGTGATTTTCCATTTTCTATGCCGGTCATCTTTTCAGAAACCGTGTTTAGGAGAAGAGACGTTTCCTGTGTGCCAAGGATGTTAGCCGGTATGGTAAACTGAAGCGTGGTTGGAAGTGATGCTAGAAACTTGCGCAGTTCAAGCTCATTTGCCAAATATATTGGGCTCTGTAGAATGGATCAGTTTTTACTTCATTGTCTCCTCCCAAAAATTCGGTAACAGCACTAACCATTTTTTTTATTTGCTTCATATGTATGAGTTATCATCAATATTTGTAACTTTGTATGAAAAAGTTGAATTATTATCATAGAGATATCATACTCTCTCAAAAAGTCACGTTTGATTTCATTTGTGTTTTTAAGTCGAATAAACACTAAACTCAAGATGCAAGCAGCCGAGCAACCAGCCACCCACTATATCACAGAGTTGCTAGGAATCATTAGTAGGCTTTGTCCAAGGCCTCAAGTCTAGACATACAACTAGACCGAGAAGGTTGTTGTAACCGGCCCTTTTAACTCAAAAGTTTAAGCTATTGTATATGGGTACGGAATCATTAAATGCTTAGTAGGGGCAACCTTTCCCGCAGAAATTTTTTTTTTTTTATAAAATTTGTGAAAATTTTAAAAATGCCTCTACTTTTTCGTAAAAATTTTAAAAATGTTCCCACTCAATTTCTAATTTCTAATAATATACCACTATATATTATTGTTGTTCAAGGCCGTCCCCTCTCACATAATTGTCTAGGTTCGTCACAGTTGTATACCAGCCCGTATTTACCTCTACTTTTTTGTAAAATTTTAAAAAATATTCTCACTCAATTTCTAATAATATCTCACTATATATTATTGTTGGTCAAGGTCAACCTCTTTCATATAATTTTCTAGGTTTATCACGGTTATTTACCCACCCGTATATACTCATTTCACTCTCCATTTGAATTGGATCTGAAACACCTTTAACCCCCCCCCCCCCCCAAAAAAAAAAAAAAAACTCCAACTCTGTTCATGCCTTCATTTGCATGTCTTGTTTATTTAAAGCTAAAGAAAGTGATATATTTGCACTTATGTGCATACACTGCTAAAGTATAAACATACAATGCATATATTGAGAGAGAGAGAGAGAACCCTTTGCATTAATTAGTTCGTTGTCTTAAAGATGTGTCAGCTTCGAAGAAAAAGGAAACTTCTTCCAATTGCATAATTTATACTTATCTATTCCAACTGTGACTTGTAATTTATCAGTTTTTGTGAGTCATAGTTTTCAAAGTACTCAACTATTATGGGACAGATGGAATATCACGATAGCATGTCCGGATAGAGTGAGAATGCATGAGTCACAATTCTCAAAGCACCCAACTATTATGAAACAGATGAAATATCACGATAGCATGTCCAAATAGGGTGAGAATGCATTTTCACTTTCAATAATGCTCCTTGACACAAATTCAAACTGTGAAAGAATAATCATTGCCATGATCCTAAAAGCGCTCCTTGGTACAAGCTTAAACTATCCAAAATGCTATTAACACAAATGTAAATTGTCTTCGAAGTTAAAAAAAAATAGCAATTTGTTCTTTGATACGATTTTAAATTATCTAAAATGCTCTTCGAACCCAAATTATCTAAAATTCTCTTTGACGCAAGCTCCTTTGTTTGGACGTAAAATATTTTTCAAAAAATATTTTTTTATTTTCTGGTGTTTGGTTATTGTAAAATATTTACAAAGAAAAAAATATTAAAATTTAACAAAAATAACTTATTCATCTATTTTAGGCAAGTTATTTTACATACCGTGCCGGATGAACTAGATCTCAACCTCGACGTTGACATTTACCAAACACAGACAAAGTAAAAATAAAAAAATATTTTACGTCTAAACAAACGAGCCGCAGTCTAAATTGTCAAGAATAGTCACTGACACGAGTCTAAACTCTCTTAAAAACTAAAAAAAAAATAATAAATAAATGTTTCATTCATGCGAGGTTAAACTATCTAAAATACTTGTCGGCAATATTTTTTATACAAGTGGTAATTCACATCATTGTAATGTTAACGCTACCTATATCACTGATATCATTGTAACGTTAGTCACTATGCTATTCACTTGAATTAGTCCACCTACGTATCATTTTCCTATAAATTACCTATAAATTATGCACATAGGGTGAGAATGCATTTTCAAATCCTCTCTGAAGAAACCAATTAAAGGATGGTAACAGCATTCACCAAATCTATTTCCTTTTCAACGAGACAATGTGAGATTAACAGAGTAGACCAAAGGACATTTCAGACAAACTTTGTCGTATCCAAATGTATATATGTGGACGTACTTTTCATACAATAACAAGAAAGAAAAAGAAAGAGAAACATTAGAATGTGAGAGCATTGAATTTGTCTATTTGTCTCCCGCCACAGAAATGAATGACCATTTGCTGTAATTTCATGAAGAAAGGTACCTGTCACTGCAACGTTTTGGTACACTTGGTGGTACCATGAACATGACTGTTCAGTAAAAAGCCAACAGTGTTATATTTTGAGACAGTGAAACAACAAGGAGAGAGATACACCAAAACAGATATAGATATATATATATACACACACACGCACACACATATATACACATCATATCATGTATATGTGTCACAGACTGTATAGCCGAAATGATATAAAAGTTCGAGGCAGATCCTGAATGCCCAGATTAATTGTATCAGCAAATAAAATCTTTTTATCACTCGCTTTAGAAGTGCGTGAAGAGTACACTCTCATTTTTGTTGGTTAGCTCGAGTAAAATAAAAGGGTGTGTGGCTCCGCGCTGTAAACGAGAGTGGACTAGGAAATACTGTACTCCATATGCTATCTTACAAAAGAAAATCACTGCACCTTATGAACGAGAAAATCTGACAGTGAATGAACATGGCGATTGCGGAATGTCCACCGGTCCACAACCCTATTTCTCCTGGTACATTTTGAAGTTTTATTTATTTTTTAAAAAAATTAATTAAATAAATGATTCGGATTATATAATTCTTCTAAATTAGTGACGCCCCTTACGTTTTACATTCTATGAAACGTGCATGTTCACATGCACCGTGCATGCTGTCGTTCTCATTCCATTGACATAATTTTTTTACTTTGTGTCCTAAAATTTGAATGGAGACAAGTACAAAGAACTTGAAACTTTCCCGACAATATTGTAAGCCTGTGCATACCTTTTTCCTTTTAAAATTCATTGCTGGAACTCGGCATAATCAACAATTATGTGAAAATAGGACAATGTGCTTGAACTACATTATCCAATTTGAATGTTTATCACTTTGCCTCCCAAAAAAAAAAAACTTGTGAATTAAGCCGTCCTCAATATTAACATAACAAATACTAAAATACAATCACATAAATCAAATGTGTATAATTAGTTTAATTGGCCTGAATTTCTAAATGGAGGTGCCAATAGGAAGAGCTTTGGAATCCAATGTTTAGACTACATATGTTTGACTCAGTCTTGCTAGCTACCTATTGAATGTAGTAGAAGCAAGATATGGGAGATAGAAAGTCTTTGTTACCTTTTTAGGCTGTAATTTCTCGTAGTATTTTACTATTTTATGTTTTGGTTATGTATTTTTAGTTTATTTGTGTTATGCCACTAAAAAGGAAAGTTAATAAATGGGATAAATCATAAAAGATGATTTAAACCTCAAAATGTCAAAATTAATCGTTTCATTCACATAGTAGGGCCTTGCATAACCATTATTTGGACAGAATTGGGGATTTATCACTCGTTGCGAGGTTGAGAACCTTGTTGACCACATAGGTTGATGAGTCCGAATTTTGCTTCCACATTGTAGACTTGGGCATTGGGTTTGATTTACCTTCATTTCACTCATGCACGGGGTCATTTAGATTCAGAGCATAACAACGTGGTATCAGAGTTAGGTCTAACTTATGAGAAATTATTACATGATCCCAAAATCATTGATCCTAGTCAATCATGAAAAAACAAGTAAGTAAAAAGTTAATTGAAAACGACATAAAGTTTACACATACACTTATGTGTCACTTCATAATTGGTCACCAAACTATGTAATAATTGATCTAAACTTAGGTGCTGTTTGATAAAACTGAAAATTAAGCATTGAAAATTTCAAGTACTGAATTTTAAGCGCTAAAACTTTAAGCACTAAATGTATTAATTTGAAAACCTGTTTGACAACGTTTTAATTTTAAGCGCTGAATTCATTAAGATTATTTGTTATATACAAAAGCTGAAGTCTGAAAGTTGTACATATTATATTTTTGCCCTTAATATCTGATACTCATAAGAGTTTTATATGAATATGAATGGTAACCGTTTAAAATATAAATAATTATATAATATTTATTATGAATCAATATGAATATGAATAGTAACAGTTTAAAATATAAATAATTACATAATATTTATCGTGAATCAATATGAATATGAATGGTAACAGTTTAAAATATAAATAATTACATAATATTTATATAGGGTATAAAAATAGTGTTAACAATATTAAAGAAAGTACCTGAAATTGAATAAAATTCTTATATAAATAATTATTTTCTATATATAGTGAATCAATATGTTTAAAATATATTAGGTAGAATTATGTTTTTTATTTTTTTGGAATTTGTTCCATGTAATTCATTTTCGTTAGCAACAACAAGCAACTAAATATATATGAATCAATTTAAATATAACCAAAAGGCTATTTGTCATGTTTAAAATATTATAGGTAAAATATTTTTCACGAATTTGTAGAGAGGCCCTAGAATCGTAAACAGAAACCCTAAAAGAGAGAATGCAATTATATGAGGGTAGAGTAGTCATTAGAAATTTATTTTTTAAACCCAACCACTTACCACTTACCGTGTTCTACGATAAGTTATAATCAACATTTCCAACGCTTAAAATTTTGGTCTCTTTTAAGTGGTAATTACCATATTAAGCGTGTTTCTAAAATTTTATCAAACACGCTTATTTTTAAAAATCACTTACCGTCTTCTGCATTCAGCGCTGAATTGAGAAATCAAACGGGCCCTTACTCCATTGTCCAAGATTACATAATTAACCTAATAAATTTTGAATATTTATAGTATTGATTTGATAAGATTTTCAAAATCCAATAAATAAATTAATATTTAAAACATTTTAAAAACAAAAGTAAACGTCTATTTTAAAACTTTAAAATGAAAAAAATAAAATTTATTGCATGACACACATTAGAAATTATTGTGTTGGTCGCAAGACCATTGGTTCCAACTAATCATATGGTGACAAGTAAAGCAAAAAGTGCAACAAAGTTCATACATTTGCATATATGTCAGTATGTAATTGGTCCTGACCAATCATACGATGAAAAGTAGAGGTGGACAAATAATTCGTAAATCTACGAATTCGATCCATGCTTCGTTAACTCTCACATATTGGTGGCAAATTTTAACATATAAATATATTCAAAAAATATATTAATTAATTATCATTTAAATATATAAATTAATATTGATAAATTAAAATTTTACAAACTCTGCTATGCTAAAAAAATAAATAATATTGAACAATTTATGAAAATTTTCAACCAGCAAATCTGATTCGATCCATCATTTCATGGATTCAATCTGATTCTATTCATGAAATAGTGAATCGGTGAAAGATTAATTTTTTTTTAATTTATTAAAAATTAATTAAGTTAGAATTGATATTTAATCTGATTAATATGATTCGATCCATTCCGGTTCGTTGGCCGAAGTCCATCCCTTTGTAATAAGTAATTTCGACACATGGAGTAAAAAGAGAGAGGAGTAAATTTTATCGTGAGAAAATGTAAAGAGATGGCATAAGAGAGAAACGACAAATTTACCCACGACACCTGATGTTGTAAAAAGCTGTACAATAAAGAGTACCAATATCTGTGTTTTTCCCATATACCCTAGCAATAGTAGATGTAATGACCTAACCAAACCGATAGGTAACCCCAACCCAAATAGCTTTCTTTGACATTCATTTCATGCTCTCTCTCACTCACACACACACACAGGCAAATGATGGGTGATGGGTTTTTTCTTCAGAGTGCCAATAACTGTAACAAAGAGAACCCAATAATGAAACCAAACGCAACCAAGAAGAAGAAGAAGAAGAAGAAGCGTGGTGGTGCTAAGAAAAAAATGACCGTTGAGCAGACGACAGCGTACAAGTGCGTGAGTGAATGGGTCTTCATGGGCCATTCCTCATTAACCCCTGCTCCCTCCTCTGTTCCTGTTGATGATGATTTTGGGTTCTTCGTAAATTACAACAAGCTTTCGGAGAAGTTGGTGTTTGAATTGCATTCTCATTCGATTTGCAGTGATGGGTTCTTATCGCCTTCAAAGCTGGTTGAGAGAGCCCATCAAAATGGGGTGAGCTTTTCCTTATCGGTCCTTTTTATTGAAGTTTTTGTTGGAAAATATGAGATGGGCTGTGCTTCATATATTAATATGTATATATGTATCTATATATTTATTGGTTTTATGGATTTTGTATTTTATTGGTTTCATTGCTGTATTTTGTATTCTATTGAATTGGTTTATGCTCTTTATGGCTTCATAAAATGATGGGTTTTGTTTCTTTTTCTTTTTTATTTTATTTTTATAAATGATTAGGAGTTAACTATTCCATAATTGCTTGTGTTTTTTTATATTTTGATTCTTTCATGGTCCTATAATACAAATTTTGAATGAGTGCTTCAAATGAGTTATGCTTTTAAAGTTTAGACAGCTATTTTCATGTTTTGTTTCAAAATTGGATTATTGTTACCTACCCAGAAGAGGTAGATTTTATTCTACTTATCTGTTTAATGAATATTAGAGGTAGATTTATTTTCTAGAAGGAACTTGGTATTTGGTTTTTAATATTCAGAATTTTCTTGAACTTGTTGCTGTTGATGGAGTTTAGTGGTGTACTGGTGCTCAATTGCTTAGAGTCAACTTTTTTTTATTTTTTATTTTTTATTTTTTTAGTTTTTGCAATAATTTTATTTTAGAATTAATTTTGTACTTGAATAATTATGTACTTGAATACAACTTTAAGTCTGGTGTTTGGTTCATACTTCATATGTTTTTGACTCATGGATTAAGTGTTTATCTTGCTCCCCCACCCCCTCCAGACCCCTGTTTGGAGTTATACATCCTGTATCCATCTGAAAAGGTTTCCTTGCTTAATTTTTCTTTTCAATTCTTCTGATTTGGCCTCTTTTGCAAGTTGATTGAATAAGGTATAAAGTATTAATAACATAATCCAAAGTATTGATAACATAATCCACTGTGTAGCCTTTCAAAAGTTAGAAACAAAGTTTTTGTTGGACAAACCAAATAAAAATTAAATAAAATAAGTGAAAAACATATCACAAATCATACAAAAGGAAATGGCTTTTTAAGAGAGGGAACATTTATCATGTGAAACTGGAAATGATTTGAATAAAAATATGTCTGGATCACTTATAGTATCTAGGAAAATAAAATTGTAATAGTTCTACGAACCTCTTAGCATGACGCGTTTTTGATGAAATTTGCCTTCATGGTGTATTTACTTCTTTTGTCAAAATGATCTAGTGAAGTTTCAGTTTATTCAATTTAAAAACACCCTTCTATTTATATGACATAAACCAAAGTGGAATTTAAAACTTGGCTACCTTGCAACTTTTGTCTTGTCCATGGCCACTTGGAACTTCTGTCACTGAAACGTCTTTATTATTCGCGATTTGTTGAATTTAATGAAAATATGAGGGTCTGATCCCATATCAGCTATCATTGAAGAGTATTGATTTGAGCTCTGTCTCAATTATGGGCAAAAGCCTCCATATAATTTTAAAATTTTCAGGCTGTGTGTAATTTAAAAGTTTTAATTCTTATTCTAGATACTAATATATCTAAAGGAAGACAGAAAGGATGTGAATGGAAAGTCCCATAGGCTTCCTGCAGTCGTGTGTGATGAGAAAAAAGATCAGATGATGGCTGGTCATCTTGTTGATCTGTTTGTTATATCAATGCCAGCTCCTACAATTTTAGGTAGCTGGCATATTGTTTTTCTTATTTTGTTGTTGTGGGTTTTTATTTATTTATTTTTTTTATGAACCAATAAACCATTGGCTTGCCGTGACTAAAGTTGTAATGTTTTTTCAATTAATTAGAATTCCAAATAGGCTTCTATAGAGACAAATAGTGTTTGTAAGTGAATATTATCTCCTTTCCTTTTACAGTTAAAGTGTGGGAGTGGGATCTTTGTCAAATTTATTGGATGCTCTTGTGGAGAGATTTTGCTTAATACTTCCCATCATTATCTATTGTTCAGGTTAGAGATGCTTCATCTTATTTCTAAAGATAACATCTCTTCCAGATATCTTCAACTTTTGTAAGGCAATATTCTATCTTCTTTCTTCCTTGAAACTCAACTTTAAATTTTAGAATGTAGAAAGGCACTTTCTTTTGCAATTTTCCCCCCCTCTTTTTCGGTGGCCAGCACCTTCAGCCATCTTCTGCTAAAGCAGTTTGGTCCTCATAAGTGGCCCTGGATTGGACCTTCATTTAGACAGTAAGCCTAGGAAAATAGAAAAGAACAACAGTTTTCATCTCTTTTATTGGAGAGGAAAATACCAGAAGTGTGTTTCTGATATTTGTACGCTTTCATGATTAGTTTGGCCTGAATACTGTTTTCTTTCAGTTATTCCAACTGTGGCGACCTTGTGGGCGGGTGTGTGTGAGCGTGTGCAGGGGGCACCAGTAGGCTACCACACTGGGCGAGTTACAGGTGCACAATCCCACATCGTCTGGGTGTGGATAGGGCAAGTGCTATATGTAGATTCAACACCCTTCTATGACACAACGCGTTTTAAAGCCGTGATGGCCGTGAACCTATCAGAACTCTGTAGTTAAGCGTGCTTAACTTGGAGTAGTACCAGGATGGGTGACCCCCTGGGAAGTCTCTGGTCTGGGTGAGCCAAAAGCGGACAATATTGTGTCTGGTCAGGGTGAGGGTCGTTACACCAACACTGGAAGATGTCAAAGGACTGAAGGAGTAGACTCAATTAAGGAAAAACAGTAACATGATGGTCAATTATTCTGCCTATAGGGTAAAATAGTTTTGTGATATCCTGTGCCAGATCTCTCTATATCTCTCTGAAAGAATTACTGAATATCACTTGAATATTTTGTTCGCTTGGATTCTTATTTTTGTGTAGTCTGGTGCAGTTGTTCCTTGGGTATTTTGTTTTTTGGTTTTCTTCTGCAATAGCGTTGGAATATGGAAAAGAAAAAAGGGGAAGGGGAGGGGGGGTTTGCGGGGGGAAGAGATTGAAGGGAATGATCATAATTTTCTTTGGTGGTCTTCTCTCAAAAGCATTTTGACTTTTGCTATGCCGAGCTTGAACAACACAAAGTGCAGCCCAGCTCGGTCCATTTGCAGCTGACCGCCAACACCTCGCCACTGTAGATCTATGACCAAAAGGTACATAGTTAATTAGATCAGCAATACTTATGCGCCTCCTCAATAATTCATTTCACCTGAGGAGTCTCTGGTTTCATTTGAACCTCATTTTAGGAACTTCATATTGCTTTTAGGTACTGATCTTGCGCTCCCATATGATAAACGACGTTGCTTGGTTTTTCTCACTTACCCCTACATTTTCATTATTTTGTATCTTTCATGTCCTCTGTTGTCGTTCCTCATTCTTATGTTCAGCCCTTGTCATCTCCTGGTTGGAAAGGAGTATTGATGAAAAGATGATGACTTCACATAAAAATGGCATAACCTTTTTACTGTTTGGAGAATAAACTGTAGGGTGCTGTTGGGTTTATGTTGTTAAAATATTATCATTATGAGGAACCATTGAGCTTGAAAGCTTGATGAGGAGCCAAGAGTTATACTCAGACCTTTGGAGTTCACTATTTTGGAAGTCTTTTCTCTAATGCCTTGCCTTCGTTCAGTTCATATATTTCTCTAAGTTGCAACTGTGAAGGGCTGGCCTCTTTACCAAGTAGACATAGAAGACTGCTTTCTTCGTGGCAAGGAGGAAGCGTATATTCAGTAACATCCTGATTATGCTCAGAGGGAGTCACAGAAGGTGTATATGTTCAGAGAAGTTATATACGGGCTCATAATCTCCAAGAGCTTGATTTGATAAATTTAGTTCACTAGTTGCCACTGGCCAGTTGTAATTTGATGTGCACAGTGTCTGATCACTCAATCTTTGTCTGTTAGATGCTTAATGGAACCATCATAATAATGGATGGGAGTTTTGTTGGCAGTGATGTGAAATTTATTGATGGTGTAAAACTCACCTTAGTAAGCAATTCCTTTGAAAGACTACAAAGAATGTATGGGACTTAGTGGGACTACCACCCGAACTATGTATGTCAATGGAATTGTTATTGCCAGTGAGAAACTGTATTGAGGATCTAAATTTAGAAGATTGATAGGAAAGCTTTTACATGTGACTGTGACCTAGGTCCTGAACCGTCTATGAAAAGTCCACGGAAAAAATACTGGGAGATGTGTCATCTTAAGGTGCCACAAGGGAGCTCGAAGGAAAGGTCTAGTATTCAAGCCTTTCTAGCTCTCTTAGTGTTATAGAGTTGATGCAAACTGGCTTCTGATGCAATATGGTATTAGTTCAGTTTCTGGAGATTACACCTTGATTGGTGGTAATTGGTTAGTTGGAAGAGTAAGAGGCATAATGCAGTGGAAATATTTAGGGCAAAAGCTGAGTATAGATTTGTGCGCATATACATACATGGCAATGAGAAAGAAGATTGTGCTTATGTTAAATCTAAAGATCAGTTGGGTGATATGTTACTAAAGTTTTAGGTGCTCACTGTTTTACCAAGCTCTATAATAAGTTAAGCATGATAGGTGTCTATGCTGTAGGTTAAGGGGAGTGTTAAGAGTGGTACTTTACATTTGGAGTATTCTGCAATTTCAGTTTTCAATGATATCAGTGTAGGAGAAAAGATCTTTAAAATATCTCTCTTTTAGTTTTCTCATCTGACTCTAGTGTACAATGGTTGACAAGACTGAGGAGTTGGACTACTCCACTATGGTCTGTTTAATATCCACATTGAACATGAATGCTTTGTTTCTTAACTAGAGCTCATTTGGTTGTCTCATGAAACATAATGATTTTGGATGATACATAACATTTGAGGGTACATGCATATAATCTAGAATGGAGCTACTACAGAAAATTAATTCCTTGACCACAGTTGTTATGGGATCGAAATTACAATTTTGTGAAATGCTGCAGTTTTATATTCTCACTATCATTTGTATAACTGGTTACTATTTTCCGAAATTGTCATTTTTATGGTGATGTATTTGCTGATAAAACACCATGTATAGAGCACATATTGGCAATTCAATTTCCATAAGCTATGAGGTTGGAAGCCTTCCATTCAAGTGTTGAGCTTTCTTTTGTGTGGTTTTTGCTTATAGAAGTTCAAGCAGCCACGTCTTGATCTTCTTGTGAGACAGTTCTATTTCATGAGAAATATTGTTCATGATCATTCTCCACCTCCAGTTGACTAATTGCCTCAATTGGTTTAACATGGTTTCGTTAATCCTTTCAATTTTTTGGAGACGAGTCACTATTAGATTTCTTTGACCATGTTGTAAATGAAATGAGTGGATAAGAATTTGCATTGGACAAATGGATAAATGTTCCCCCAAGGCTTAAATCCATTGTATTTAGAAGCATAGCCCCATGTGGGATGTAAATTATATCTCTTCTCGTTATTATTTATTTATTTTGGGGTTAGGATCAAATTAAAAAAGAAAAGAAAAAATAGAACAGCGATAGTATGAACTACTAACTATAAAACTAATAAAAAAAGCCTTAGTATGAACTACTAACTATTAAACTAATAACCAACTTATCACACATCACTTTGCGTTATCTTTTTTGTTGTGTGATGAGTAGTGACTGAAGCTGAAATTGACCTCTTCATTATTTAGCATGCCTTTTGAATTATGAAACCTTCCTTTGCCATGACATCTGATGTTCTAGACAGTGGTTGTTTCAATAATTAGTTGGATGTGAACTAATTAGTGCATTATATTCAGAACAGGTGAAAGTTCTTGCTCTGACTGATCACGACACAATGTCTGGCATCCCTGAAGCCCTGGAAGCGGCCGGCAGATTTGGCATCAAGATTATCCCTGGTGTTGAAATTAGTACGATTTTTGTCCCAAGGTTATACTTTTTACATTCTGTCCTTCTCCTTTCACATTATGGTAAATGATTTGCATTCAGCTCCCTTTCTCCTGGATGCAAATTTTGCATCATCGCGTCACCATAATCTTGCAATACCAATCACCGCAGTAGCCTGTACTTTGGCCAATTGCTCTCCCTGTAAAACTGGAAATCTTGTATAAATTGCAGTCCCATAATTGGTCAGTGCAAGAGCTGGGAACATTTATATTGCAGGATTTACACGGTTACACCCCCATTCATGATATCATTTTGGTTCTGATGTTTGGAACTGATTGTAACAGAGGGGAGTCTGGATCAGATGAACCGGTTCACATCCTCGCATATTATGGCAGCTGTGGGCCAACAAAATCCAAGGAAATGGAGAAGTTCCTGGCCAACATAAGGGATGGACGTTACGTGCGTGCAAAAAACATGATTTCAAAACTTAACAAACTCAAGTTACCTCTTAAATGGGAGCATGTTGCCAAGATTGCAGGCAAAGGAGTTGCTCCTGGGAGACTGCATGTGGCTCGTGCTATGGTTGAAGAAGGCCATGTGGAAAATCTGAAACAAGCTTTTGCACGATATCTTTACGATGGTGGACCTGCTTATTCAACGTAATAATTATAAGCCTACTATAATTTCTTATTTATTATTGTTGATGCATATGTCTATTAAGAAAGATCAATGGAGAAAACTTTTGTTTGTTCTGGGTTCTCAGGGGAAGTGAGCCTATTGCAGAGGAAGCAGTGCAGTTGATTTGTGAAACGGGGGGTGTGGCAGTCCTGGCTCATCCATGGGCATTAAAGAATCCCGTTGCCATCATCAGGAGGCTGAAAGATGCAGGGCTCCATGGTGTAGAGGTTTACAGAAGTGATGGGAAATTGGCAGGTATATGAGACGTTGCTTTACCTTTTCTGTATAATTTTATTTTCTAATCCGATATAACTTTCCAATATTATGATGCCGACATTTGTTTCTTCTAAACTGAAATGTGGAACAAATTGGTCTCTTAAGTTGATTGTACAAATAATCTGAATAGATTAACAGACTGAATCAAGCTACATTAACAATTAATGCTTTCACAAAGTTGCAGATTATACTGGATAAATATCATGAATTGATTGATGAGATTTTCAAGTTTCTAAAAATGGTATATATTTCGAGCTGATATCAAATATACAGTGCAGTCTTAAAAGATTCGGAAGGAACTGTTTGCAATATTAATTGTTTGGCTCTAAGAGATGCATATATTTAACATGAAAGAGCACACAAATAACTATACCTGATCTTACTCGTATTAATTTCTATGCCCCAGTGCCCCTGCAGAATAATTTTATGTGCTAACGAACAAAGCTTTAGGAGGAAGATTACATGCTATTCACTGCTCTTTGCGTTAAAACGCTTCCACACTGTTCATCACGTGAAAAATGATATTTATGAAAACGGCCAAAGCTCATCTTTTTGAAGTTGTATGCGTGTTTTCCAATCATATATTGATTCATTTGTTCACTGAACAGCATTCAGTGACCTAGCAGATGCCTATGATCTTCTGAAGCTTGGAGGGTCAGATTATCACGGGAGAGGTGGGCAAAGCGAGTCTAATCTGGGAAGTGTGAACCTTCCAGTGGTGGCCGTGCATGAATTCCTGAAGGTTGCCCGACCAATTTGGTGTAGTGCTATTGGTGACATTTTAGGAAATTATGCTGAGGATCCCTCTGAGTCGAACTTAGAGCGGATCATGAGGTTTGTGAAGACCAAAATTTCTAAGGGGGCTTCACCCTTTAGTTACCGCGAAAATCTGATTGATATTTGCTTATCTTCGTGGTTGACAAATGAAGAAAGGCAGAATGCAGTTTTTGAGGCCATGAAGTTGAAGCTTTCCCACATTTCAATCAATCAGGGAGAGATTCAGACCCCTACAAGTAAATAGTTTTATCTTAGTTGGTTTATTTTCTTGTACTTTTTTCCCCTCAATAACTGAGGTGATGACGATGATGATATTTAATTTCATCATCTTTTTTTTTTGGGTCAAAATTTCCTTTATAGGAGAGTTTTTATCAATGTGATTTGCAGTTTTTGTTTCTTTCTTTTCTCTATTACTACTACAAAACTTTTTAAAAGAAAATATTAGATTTTCTTAAAAAAATATGTCAGCCATGTGGCACATAACAAGAACTTGATTTGATGCAAAATCATGTTTTGGCTGATTTATTTTTGTTTTCTGATCTCACAACCAAATTACATACTTCCTTTTGTTTTTATAGGGACTAGGTACTAGGGTCTAGGGTTTGATATGTAACTCTGAAAATAGGTCTCAATAATTCAAAGAATACAAAATTATTTTTAGAAACTATAAAAGAATATTTACAATTAAGTTTTTAAAAAAGTAGAGTTTTTTTTTTATTATTATTATTTTTTCTTAAATAAAAAATTGTTCTTAGAAATCTTTTCGACGGAGGAGAAATCATTGAGATATAACTCTTGGTGTTTGGTGGCAATTGATCACGCGCGAATTTTAAAGAAATTTTTATTTATAAATTATACCATTTTATTCAGTTAAAATTATAAATTATTACTGTAATTAAGAAATGCAATTCATTTTAACAATTACTTGTATTCTTATTTTACTTATATATTTTAATAATTTATATGGTAGGGGTAGCTTTGGTGCACTCGTAAAGTTGCTCATATCTTATGCCGCTCATATCTAATGCCGTGAGTTTGTTATATGTAGTAATGACTAATAAATAAGTATAGTTAAATAAAATTCAAAACAAATGAATATTCAAAACAAGTATAATCAAATAAAATTCAAAACAAATGAATATTCAGTTAAGAAGTAGGTAAAGATCTTGAATTCGGCACTGAGAAAATCAGTCTATAAGGAGGATCACACAATCTGTCAGACCATCTTTTAGGTGGAGACATTAGTCATTAGATTCACAAAAAGCTCCAATGAAGTATAAGAAATTGAGCGCCCAAAAAGAAAATGGTTTCATAGTTTTTATGAAACTATTTTCTAAAGCCAAACCATTTCTTAACTTAGTTTTCAGATGACATTTTTCAGAAAATTCGTCGACAAACCAAAATTTTTAGACCGTCAAACCAATATTTTTAAGACATTCTTGTGTTCCATAAGCGGACAGTCGCTCAACTTTCAACCTGTGACATCTTTTCAAGAATAAAATTTTAATTTTTGCCGTTAACCCCCAATTTAGATCCAATCTGCATTTTACACTTTCCTCCTCTTTTCTTCCCCCACGAGAATAAATGGTAATGTAGGCCATTTACACACATGCACTCATTTTTATTTTAAAAGTTCTTCTAATTGGAAGACTCTCTACCCATACCAATCCCATGACACGGGAGAGATTAAAGTCACAGACAGGAAAAAGAATTCAGACCCACACTCAATATTCCTCCAAGTACCGAAAGACTTGCGCAGCAAAAGGAATTCGAACCCACACTCGATTCACTTAATATGATTCGTCCAAGATCCGAAGGTCCATCCTACCATCCAACTGCACTACGCCACAACACCATGCATCAATTTTTAGGTTTAAGGCGGGGGAGGAGGAAGGGGAAAAAAATTGAAAGAGACAATGGCCTATAGTAATCAACTTGGCGCTAATTTGTGGGTGGACTCCATCCAAATTGAAAACCCAAATCTAAGACATCTTCAAAAAATGTATTCAACTGTGTAGCACAACAAAAAGTTGCTACCTTGAATTTGGAGACAGGTTGAGCAACTTCACATTAGTCTGACCCAGAATGCTCATCCTTGCACCATATCACCCGGCAACTCCTCATTCAAATGGTTGTAAATTCAATACCCCCAGTGACTAAATGCTCCTCCACTCACTAACACATTGTATTAACGAGGACGACACAATCTTTTTTTCGGCCATGCATGAAAGCCAGCCATCTTGACTAGTGATTTAGGGGAATGAACTGCCTGCACAAACATCAGTTACACCAACACCCAAACTATTGTAGGGTTTGAGAGAAACAGTGTGACTAAAGGGATATGATTACAGAAGGATGTGATATGAACGAATTTAAACTGCAGGCAGACCACTTGAGAACCGATACCGAGAAACATGATGATAATTGCTACTAAAATAAAAAAGAAAAAAAGTAACAACATATTTGACAATTATATAATAAAACAATCCTCATTATATTCACAATCATTCCATCATTATTTTATTGTGACTTATAGATATAGAACTATAAATGCAAATATATATTCATGCAAGAAATGATGCTTATAAGACCTGCAGAAGGCAAAAAAAAATTCAAAGATGATACCTTCCACCCAGACAACATTTTATGGGTATGAAGTAGAAAGTTATGGGTAAGAAAGGGACTGGAATGATAACTCTATTTGCAAGGTCTTTTAGATGCCTCAAATTTTGAAAAATTGGTGAAGGATAAAAGCCAAAATTCAGATATTAACTCCAAACATGGAAGCAAACTTGGCCATCTACAGGGGCCTCTTGTATGTTTTTTTTATACACGATCATGCACAGAAATTCAATATTAGATATATTCAACTGAAACTGTGCTGAATCTTACTATTCTTTATTATTTATTGTCAGTGATCAGCAGCCTTTTTATCTTCTGCTTCAGAGGCTGTTTCTTCCTTACAAATCAGTTTCTCAGCCATCACAGGTGGGTTAGTGATAGGCCCATTAATCTGTCCATTCAACACCATAAGTGAGGTTCAAAATGATGACGTGACTATTGAGCATAATGTCTAGAATCTCCATTTCATATGAAGATTTTAATCTATAAAGGGTATATCAAAGCTTACCATAAGTGATTTCAGAGGCCAAGCATCATAAGCAGGCATTACAGACGAAACTGAGGGCCTGTGAAACAGTAGGTGTGCCATTGATCGATCTATAGGATTTGTATTGGTTTCTATATCCATAAATCCAGTGCACCTGAAATAAAAACAATAAAGCGAAATATCAGATAATGATAACTAGACTTCAGTCACAGCAGAACTTGCTCTATGTACAAAAAGGAAAAATCTAAAGCAAACAATACTGATTCATGGTGGTTGCATGCAGACTCCGACTTTGTATGTACGAAGCCAAGGTAAAGGAACGAGTTCCACTATCTTTTTGTCTTCATTACTTTTTCTTTTTCTCATGCATTTCAATGGCAAAGAGAGATCATCTCCAATAGTCCAGATATATTATTTCTTGGAAGTCCTACCCATATTTACCAATCTTTTCCAGCTGCATATATTGAATATGCACAAAACTAACTCAACTGTGACATATATCATCACAATCAAGTCCAGGTCTAACACTACGGTAAAGAAGTCATTGAATACAAACTTACCAGAAGGCAAAGATGATGATGATGATAACAGGGAATATGTGCATGAAATTTGAAGGAGAAAATTCTTACAACCTTAGCATAATAATCTCATCTCATGGACTGACTTGAGATTTAGTGTAGACCTTCTATAAGTTGAAAGAATTGCCAAGGGTTGAGAAGTAGTAAAAATAGAAGAAAGTGAAGATAAGAGGGTGAGGAGAAGAAAAGTATAACCCAACCGAGGAGAAGAAAAGTATAACCCAACCTTAATCTTTACAACATAGCATGTTTAGTACATTCATGGAGGTTCTGGTTATAGCAGTACAACAATGATAATAACAACTTCTTCATTTGTGATTCTTCCACGTTAATTTTGCCCAATATTCCAGCTCTAGGTCCCAGTTGGAAGCAATTTTGTCCACAAGAATAAGAAAGGAAGAAAGAAAAAGATGCATCACAGAGGAAAGGACTTTGGTGATGCATCACTCAAATTTTTCGTGTTTGTTTGTGTAAAAATGTAACAATAATGCAATGCCCCTTATAATAGTTTTTTTCTCAAATTGATATCTGAATTGAAATGTACAAATAAATTAATCTAAATTGAAATGTACAAATAAATTTATATTTTAGGATCTTGACATAATTTTGGCATTTGATAAGCTTATCTATTGATAATAAAAAATGCGAGAATTTAAAAATAGTGATTTAATATATCAAATATTTATGAAGTAAATTTAAAGAATGCTACAGTAATGATTTAGAAATACATGGAACTGTCTACAGTGATGAGTTGTGGATTGTTGAATGACGCATGAAGATCAAATTGAGGTGGAACCTCAGTAGGACAAATATAGGATCATTACAACACATCATGTTAGGCACCCGAAAACATGTTCATAAGTGAGTGAATAAGGATATTAAAACGGACGGCAAGACAAAAAATGCCAAAAATCATAAATGAATTACATTTGATAATTTTTAAGCCACTGATGACTGATGAGTGACATGTTTCAGATTGAAGTTGCTGCAAGGATAGAGAAACAGCAAGATAGGGTTTGCTTAACTGACACCAGATCGTTGGGACAAAAGCTTTCTTAGAGTAGAGAGGTGTTTAATGAGGGTATCCAAGTTTCCAGGAAGAACCCTAGTGGATAATTGAGTACATAACCCAAAAAATAATATTTGAGAGACTTTCAGCAAAGATATGTATTAATAATAAAAGAAAAAAGGGAAAAAATTGGTTATAGACATGTCCTTCCATTACTTTTTCCTGCAAATGTCCATTTTATCTGTTCCTTCAGCAATCTAAGAGGTTATATGACAAGAAGATGCTGCGCTAGTCCTGTTAGCAAGGTCAACAAGGAAAACTAGATTCAAGATGGACAAAATGAGCGAATAATACCATTTTTCCATGTAAGCAACCAGGTCACAGAAGTAATTCAAACCTGGTTTGCCTGGATTAGTAATTCCGGTAGTAGTTTAGGTGAACAATAATTACCACCACACATATTAGTGTAAAGAAAATATATGCATCAGTTCTAGCACCATGTGACTTCTTATGCATGTGAAATGAATAACAACCTGCCATTAGTATCATTTATCTTAAAATACATAAATAATATTGAAGTGCTGAAGGCAGGCTGTGATTACGTACTTAGTTCCTTCATCTCTGTCGCCACCATTCATATTTGCATGGTTATGCCTTTGCTCAGCACTCCTGGCCAAACGATACAGACTATCCCTTATGCATAATTTTGTCCTTATGTCCAACTGACATCAACCAGGTTTAGGTCAATCAGTTCCCAAAAAGTAGAGTAAAATCATCAAACATCATAAACAGTGTGGCACTAAAAGAATGTCCAATTTTCATAAATAAACAACAATCTTCCTAGGAAAATCTTTACACATTTCTGCCAATCACCTTCATTTGCTACAACAAATTCACAGCCACTGCCCGCAAAAATGCACATGAATAGGCAATAATATAATGCAAGATTCTACTTGATTTCTGTCTAACCTATTAGTCAGAACATGAATGCTATGACATGGCAGTGTTATTCCTTTCATGCATGCAGAAAACTTTCCTAGAATAAATCAATAACAGCTACACTCAACAAGAATTAAAGTTTTTTTTAATACAAAGTGGCTTTGCATTTAGAACCTTCATAGCTTTAGTCATGCCTATGATACTTATTCATAATAGCTTTTTCATGTTTTTAAGTGTATGCTAGATATACATGCAGGATAAAACAGTATCAAATAGCACACAATTACACATAAACACATGCACCTACATTTTTTCTGAATCATGATGGTTGCAAAACCACAGCCTTCAAGTTTTGAAGGGTATAATTAGAGTTTGAAAAACCATTAATACCTTTTCCATGACATGTTGAAGCTGAAGAAAACTAGTTGCTTCTAGTGAGATTTCATTCAATCCAGAAACTTCCTGTAAATTAGAAGAATCTAAGTCTGCTGGAACTCCCATACTAACACCTTCAACTTCATTGGGATCTTTTACTTCATTCTCAGAACTATGGTCTTGCTTCTGTACTGAAGTTGGCTCGCGAATTGCAGCCTGAACCACCAAATCAGCATGTTTAAGATTACTCAAGAATAGAGATTGAAATCCTTGTTGATGATGTAGCTTTTCACTCTTTTCATCCATTGTTGTAGATGGGACCTCAAATGAACGATCATGAGAACTCTCCATAGACTGCACTTGGTTTGATGCATAAGAAGACTCGTTTGTGGAGATAGATGTGAAACCGTTATTTTCAGAGTTGACATTAGATAGAGTTGAACCTACTGAAATTTGACCTGAAGGATGATGACTGTTGTCCGTATACATATGAGGAAAACGGGTCTGCAAGTAACCATGGGAATTTGGTCCCGTGTTTTGCACATGTTGCCGGATGTCTGAGGGAAGAACGTGACAAGATAAGTCACAAGAAGGAAGCTTAATGTCTTTGAATTGCAGGTTACCATTCTGATGATATGAACCACAACTGTCTAAGCATCGGCCTTTTCTTTTTATTAATGATCGGTTATGATGCTTCGACTGCTTTTTACGCAAATTGATCTGCCATGAAATAAAAATATATATTAGTAAACATAGTGAGATTATTGCATTTAAGTATTTCACATGTTCCAAGAAGTACATTCTCACAGATAGAGTTTCCAGTTCTATCACAAATGCAAACGTATGTTTATGAAGATGCAATATCAATGATTTATATCTCCTATGCATATCTCCCAATTACGGAACCATGTAGTTTTCCGGGTCCGACTCATGTCCCATTGGAATCACCACATAAGGTTCTTCCAAGAACATGTACTAATTGTCAGGTGGTCGTGAGACCCTCCCACTGTTGGGATTATGTGCCCTTCAAGCCATTGATATTTATTATTGATATAATCTGAGGCTTAATTAAATGCAATAAATATATGGTGAATTCCGTGTATTGTCGGTCCATGAGATGGATTGTGGTTGTCCCTTTGACTATGAATGTGATTTATGTGTGTATGATGGGTGTTCATGTTGACATTAAGTGTGCCCGTCAAGCCAATTTATCCTTGTATTTGACATCTTACTATTAATAGAATCTGATTTTAATATCGCATAACATGCATCACATACTTTACATGCATATATGGTGAAACCTCTGTCTTGTTTGACTCTAAAGTTGAGTCAATGTCCTTTGATTATGTAATATGATTTATGTGCATGCCGTGATGGGAGATATGCAATAGAGATATAAATCATTGATGTTGCATGTTCATAAACATATGTTCGCATTTGGATAGAACTGGAAAAAATCACCTCTCATACATAACTAGGTGACACGAATGCACACAAGTTTTCAATAACAAACCAAATGTAAACAGCAATCTAGAATTTTTAATTAAACAAACTCATTCTGAATCTGAAATCATTTAGTGTTGAACAAAATTTCTGTTTGACTCTCATTCAGAACTTTTAGCGCATGGCTCTTTTAGCATCCAGAACTTAGGGGGAAGAAAAAGGTATAAGATAGAAAGGAAATAAAGTTCTCATGAGTAAACAATCGTCGTTGTGTAACATACCATCCCATTGTTGTCATTTTTAGAATGGTTTGTGTTTGAAACTTTGAACTGAATGCCATCATTGAACTCAATTCCCTACAAAAATAACCAACAAACCTTACATGCTTTTGATTCAGAAAACAAAATAAAGGATTCCTGAATCTTCAGAATGCAATACAAGCAAGCAGCATGGAATTGAAAATTCAATGAATTTTACTGACTTGCTCTTTAGGCACAAACACATCCTTGCTTACGGAAGTTGTATTGGACACGCTCATGGAAGATAAGCGACCACGTGCAGCAGGCTCATTGGCCACAGATGTCCGAGAACTAGATTTGTAGCTAACAGAAACACTTTCTATGTTGGAATCATTGACTAGAGAACTTGCATTAATCAGTTTAGAAGGTTCACGATTTTCAGGTATATTTTTCGATGGACTTGACTCCGAATAAGAAAACTTCATATTTGGCTTCACTAGATCATTAGATCCTTCAGTATCAAGTGATGACGAAAACCAAGTTAGGTCATCTTCATTACTGGTACCCTGAATCCCAAATGTTGAATCACAACTTCTGCGACATAAGTAAATAAGTACATAAATATCATAACAGGATAGAAAAAGAGAAAAAGAAGGGATCTGCTCAAATGAAGGAGATTGAAAGACTACCTAAACATCCTATCAACGTCTTCAAAATTTCCAATATCCGGCCACCCATAATATAATAAATCACTGGATTCTTTGTCCTCGTGATCATTATCAAAAAAACAAAGATCATTATCAGTTTGAGGATTGTGACCGAGCAGATAACTGTATGAATTATTATCAACTGCCGCACACCTGTCGCCAATTATGGGAACATCAGCACAAAACTCACTGCCAATGGAATCTATATTGGTATTTTTGAAGCAATGACTCGACATCCTAGAAGTATCAGAAGCTAAACTTCTCCCTTCCTTGATTGAGTTACTATCACGTGAAGCAGGAAACACGCCTTCAGGTGTGTGAGTGGGTGAATCCTTTTCCAACATTGTGTCCCTTCTGTTTCTCAGAGCTAGAAACACTCGTTCCTCTTTTCCCTGTATGACATATTTAGCAGCATACTTGTCATGAGCATTACTTGAAATCCCAATTACTTCATGTCGAGGTTTCTTATTGCTATCCCCCTGAAATGCATTTTCATTCCTATGTCCACCGCCAGAATTAGGCACTATGTGATCATCACTCTGATCAAATTCATCCCAGAAAATATCTTCAAGCTGCAAAACCAATTATAGAATTTTAGCTGTAATGACTGCAGAGTTAGTCAGTTAACGAACATTCTTAAAATACTTTCCACAAAAAGAGTATAATAAACCAATCAGATAACATTGTGATAACTTATGAATGATGACAGTACAGCAATATGTGAAAGAATATTAAAATGTTGCAACAATCACTTTCATATGGAAATTTTATAAGACTATCAATCCAATCAAGCCAAAGAAAGAATTTAAGAAATTGAAAGATCTAATAGACACGGATGAAATTCAGAAGGAATTTCAGATAAATCCTAAGTCAGGACTCAGGACAAAGTAAGATAAGACAAAAAATACTAGGTCATACAAACAACAGAAGCACTTGATGTCTGACAATAGTTCCACAACAGATTCACATGAGGTGAATTCTAACACCGTGGAGCTCTGTATTAAAAGTTAAATAGTGGAGAAGGTAAAACGGGGGTGGATGGGGTTGAGAAAACTTTGGCACATATATTTGCAGAGGATGTGAGGGTGCCTTCTAGCACCCATATCTTTTTGGATTTAGAAAACCTATTAAATACCATGTTCCTGCAATTCAACAATTGAAGTCTTTTAGAATCTCGGCATAGAAAAGGTTGACTTATTGGAAGCATTTTGATGAATTTATGTATAATGCATTATGAAGGAAAGCATTTGCTATTTGTACTCCCTCTTGACTGTTATGAAAGAAACTAAAAGTACATGGTAATACAAACTTCGTGAACTTGACACTGATCTATTATAAGGGAATGTTTCTGAAATTCTCTCTAGAAGATAACAAGCAATCTTAGCTCTTAGTGAACTGATACTCACCATGCGCCTGGAGTAATTTCTGCATACCAAACTAAAATGACTTCAGCATTAGTAACTGTTCTCTTTGATCAACTCATAATTCACTTTGCCCCCAACATTCAATCTGTTTTGATTTATTCTCTCCTTTTCTACATATACCAACAAGATCCAACTTCAGCAAATATTAAAAAACCGATCCAAGACCAGCACACAGTATTCGGATCCCTTTTATTATTATTATTTGTTACTCTTTCAGTCTCTATAAAAGAAAATTATAAGACTTCATGCACCTTCCCACATATATATAGGTTAAGTTTTTGTTGAATAGAGCTTAGTCTCAATTGGCTGGTCATTACTTATTACCAGAATGAGGCTATTCACATGGGGTACATACACTATGGTTTTCTCTACAGTGTCGCTTTTTTAGCATTATTTAATATCTATTAAATATCTTTCATTATATACACATGGATCACAATACTTTGTATCAAAGAATATGGCTGGCTTCCGCATGGGTAAAAGTTACCTGAAATGTCACAAGTTCCTCTCCATTCCTTGTGGTCATCTTATGCTATGCTTAAAACATTAGAAGTTGGCTTCCTCAATAATCGATCAACAGATCAATCTTATCTCAGCCTCGTGAAAACACAAGAAGATTGCAGCTTCTCTTTAGAAAGTACCGACCACACCAGAAACCAAGGCAGGAGACAATGCCAGTCCATTACAACATCAAACCCTGATATCAAGCAATGATATAAGCACATGCGCAAATTTATCAAGCATGAGAACACGGGATCAGTCCACTCTTACCAGAACCCAGACCATGAGGACAAGGACTTCAACACAAAGCACCACTAATTCTTTCCAATAAAGCAATGTCCTCTGCTTTCATCATCCACCAGTTTAGAGTGGCCAGTATTATGCTACAAGTAATATCTCTATATATATACTCCCAAACCTAACCAATCCAAGTATTTGAAAGTGCATCCATCAAATTAAGTAATTCCTCCATTAAGATTCCAAGCACAATAATCTGTCTGAGCAATCATCCCAAGCACGGAACTAACTACAACCTAAACATTCATTAAGCTTGGAGGCACTCCTGTGAATTCAATAGTAAAAAGGCTTGGGAAAAAGTCAACTGTAAACCTTTGCAATTTTTCTTCTCCCTATGTTGAACTCCTCAGTAGATGGATGACCCAATATTCCAAAACATTAAAAAAAACATGCAAAATAATTACAGATCTTTCTTCTTTACCTAAACTACTGAAAGTAATCTGAACTAACCATTTAGTTTCCATGGGATGTAACCTAAATCAACGCATCAAGAAGAGACCTTGCCATGGGAGCATAAGAAGCAAGACAATCCATAAATAAATTATAAAAGATTTCAGTACTACTTATACATAAATACACATGCCTGGGTTAAGGCTTCTTGCACGAAGAATTACATATTTATCTTTGTTGTGAGCCACAAAAAAATTACGTCTTAAGTTTTGAGGTATGGCCCTCCAAATCAGCATAGCAAGATGAAATGGATACAAATCTTTATTTCCTAAGAGAAAGCAAAAGCAAGAATTTGAGGTGAAAAGCCATTACTTACCAACATCGTTTATATTGTCTGAACATAAAAAGATATTCATCTGTAAGAAGGCCAGGAGAAGCAAGAACCTCAATTTTATGATCAATAAGATTTCTAAAATGATTGAATTCCAAAGAAGGTAAGAACTCAAATAAAGTATATAAGCATAATCTGAAGATATGTGTGAAAGAATCCTTGAAAACATTCTGTCCCCACTATAAATCCTCCAAAAATAAAACCCTACATGCAATACCATCATCATCTTAGACAGTTGCGTCATCCAAAGGACAAGTGAGTCATCCAGACTCACTAAATTAGTATAATGCACGAGTTGAATTTGTAAGTCCTTGCAAGGACTTGCATGGTTTGAAGTAGTAAGCTCTTATGACGTAGTTCAAGAGATCAAATCAAGCAATTCAAAGGCATAAATATAAACAAGGGGAATTTATGTCCTTATAGTTTGCATTGATGTATCATATAAAGAGAAAAGAAAATGAAGGGATGCAAAACTTAAGGGTCGGTCTATCTTGAGAATTGAAAATTCCAGATTCAGTTAATTTATATGCTTTCTTATGACATAGTTCAAGAGATCAAATCAAGCAATTCAAAGGCATCAATATAAACAAGGGGGAACTATTTCCTTATAGTTTGCATTGATGTATCATATAAAGAGAAACAAAGATGAAGAGATAAAACTTAAAGGTCAGTCTAGCTTGAGAGTTGAAGATTCCAGATTCAGTTAATTTAAATGCTTTCTTAAGATTAAGATTACCATGCTGGATAAGGCAACATGAACACTTCAAACTAATTATCAAAGGCATATAGATATTGATGTAAAGCAAGCTAACAAGAAAAGGGTAAAATTAGTAATTGTGTAATCAAGTTTACGGTTGAACTGAGTCTTATTTTATATTGGTTTTAGGTTTATATGTTGTTATAGTTTTATTCATAATTTATTAGATTTTAGGAGTCAAAGAAATATTGAGAATTTTCATATTTACTAAAAACATGGGCTGAAGGTATGGTTCCATGGATTTTGTTAGTGAAGGAAGCTAGTATATTGGCTTTTTACGTTATATCATGCAATCTGTCACTCTTAAAGCAAAGCTAATTCCTATCCTTTTTTATTCACAACCTCAAAATTCTTTCTTACACACCTTAACTTGTACAAGATTTTTTATAACAAAAACACATCCGAAAACATATTGTAGGCTACATTATTATAAGTTTCCTAGAGCTGTCCTACAGTAGTTTGGTATCAGAGCATGTAGAGAAAGGTCTTTCCTGCACTTGTCCTGGATCATATGTACACTTAATTCTAGCATCCAACAACATGTACAGTTGGCTCTTAAATAACTAACTATCATGGAAGACACTGAATTTATTAGTTAATAGAATTCTAAGGTACTATATTTCTCTGATTCATTAAGCAAAACTTCTTTAACTTCATATATACAAATAAACAAACAATAGATGTATTTATGCACACCAACTCCACTGCAAGGCCAAAAAGAAAAAAAAAAATCTTCATAATCCTTATATTTAATTATTAACTTTGAGTGATTGCAATTTTAATGTGTATTTCCATGCTTATAACTACTAATTTAATGTTTTGAAAAAAGTTAATTTTTAAACAATAGAAATGTAGATTAATTTCCTCCAAATTTCTTACTTTAATAATTATAAAGTTATTAAATATTAATTATGAGAGTATCAACTGTCTTAGTACCATTTTCTGTTCCTGGGAAGGTTAATTTTTGGCTATACAAAAGCAGGAGCCACTTTGAACATGTTCAAAGAAATTTCCATCTTTGGGTAGTTCTAGTATATTACAGTACCTACATTTTGCTCCTGGGAAGTTTGTTAATTTCTTCATATGAAAGTAAATTCCGACACGGACACAGGCTGTGCTAGACTCGGTACAGACACAAGATGGACTTCACTCTACATTTTTCATCTCTTTCTTCTTCTACATTGCTCATTATTCAAACGTGTTGAACAAAGTATTCACCCTAAGTGACACTACCTTTACGAAATTATCAGGCACTGCATCCCAAGACACAGACAACTAACTCTAGAGACTGGATGATATACACATGATAGATGTTGTAAGATGACTAATTGAATCAAGGTAACAAGACCACTCTTCAGATAAACAATTAAAATATTACAGTTCATCCCAATAATGCCTTCCACCAATTATCTTCTATGTCCTGAGAACCTGAAATACACAGGAGGCGTAAAATGTCATTCAACACTTAAAGGACTTAGTTAATTACCAACTGAAAAAAAGAATGACCTAGCTAACAAGTGAAGACAAGCTTGAATGTTAGGTACTCAATCTGATGGAATACAATAAAAGTGGACTTGGTCTAGTAAAGGTAACATGAATGTTGCAACAACACCACATGAAGAAGATTTGAACAAGACACGCAATAAAGTTGACCTCTTTCCAAGGCACAAGGCAAAAAAGAAGTTGCCTCAAACAAAGCAAGGACCATATTTTTCACTAACATATATTTTTAGTTTAACATGTAAATGAAGAATAGAATTAACAGATTTTCGTAAATATGGTAATGAGCATTTTAAGAAAGAAAGTTATGTATATTTGAAGAATAAATAAATAAATATTTTATTAAACAGACGAACTGTCAGTCTTTCTTTTTCTTTTATTTTTTGGACAATAAAGTATACGAAAATAAATAAATAATAGAACTAAGAAACTTCGTAGTTTTATGTCAAGTACTGTGATATGAAGAACAAAAATTAAAAGAGTGAAGGAAAATTAGGGAAGGCACGCCATCAATGTGGCAGGCACCTTGAAAAAGGCATGTTCCAACTCCCCTGTCCTTGCCCCTATTTAAAGGCACCTTATGATGTGCAAACCTTTAATACAACTGAATGGCAGAACCATACAATTACCACTGGGAATGTTGTAAAGAGGCAAATCATCTAAACATCCTCATCAGTAGAAATTAACCAATCCAGATTCTTGCATTATATCACAGCAAAATGGCCAATATTACCCCAACAGCATTAGGAAAAGTAGAACTATTTAACTCTCAGCTCAGAATTATTTAACTATGACCATTATAATTATCTAATTGTTTCCCTAAAGAATATAGTTTTATATGCAACAATACGTTAACATAACTGAATAAATGTTTTCGGGAAAAAAAAAAAAAATGGCTTAAAAGGAAACTAAGAAATAACAAGGGAAGCCAAAGCTAAGCATCTGATGATTTGCTAATGGATTATTACACTTCCTGATAATTTACTTGTCTTTCACTAATCAGGAATGAGAATATGTTGGCTATTTAAGCCATAATTTAAATAAAAATAAGGTGTCATATAATTGTTATCCAAGGCAAACCAAAAAATGACTATTTTGTTTATCATGGATTAAAATTATAAATGTAAATTGAAGATATTACCTAGGAGCTAGATTAAGCGGGAGAACCCCTGCGAATGTTGTGTCATCGTAAATTACCTTTCAAGTCAAAAGGAATATAAATTCTTTTGTATAACTACAATGCCAAGTATGCTCTATAGTATAAATTCTTACACAACTCTGCATGAATACTACAATGCTAATTATGCTTTATAGTATAAATTCTTATATAGTTAAGAGTTAAATAAATAAATAAATAAATATATATATATATATATATATATATATATATATATATAAATAAATAAAAAGGTGTACTCGGAACAAGGATGTTAAGTGTAAAAACAGATAATTAGCAACAGCATTCATGGCTAGAAAAAATAAGTAGGAAATTCTTCTTGGCAATCAAATCTGAGCTTTCTTCTTCTCGTGTCATCACAATTAGAGGATCTAGGGGTTCGATTGGAGTATGTGTGCCAGACGCATATTCCATACCATGCCCATGCTTGTCCACACGGAAGGAATAGGAGAGTCCAGCTAACATAGGACAAAATCAATAACTCTAAGATAGTTACATCATATGCAATGAGAAATAATGGAGGCACCGCACGGGATAAGTAATTCATTTCAAGAAAAGGTGCCTCAACAACCCAAGAAGACCAAAACAAACAATCATTCTTGTGGAAAAGGACTCCCCCAATCTATGTATATATTGAAATTATTTTTTTTCTGAATCTTAATATGCTGACAATTTTTGTTCTCTAAATCTTAATATACTCCTCTCTTTCTTTTAAACTACTGGAAACCCAATAAACCTCGAATGACTTCCAAATTTAGAGACCAAAGTAAGTAAACAGCATTAAAAATATTTTTTGAACACGAGCGATTTGTAAAGAGTGAAAAAAAAAAGAAATTTCAAGAATCACTTCACATTATCACTCCACTTTATTTTGCCTAACTGAAGTTGTTTCTTGAATGTACAAATCAATCCACACTTCCATTATGTTTCCAAGTGTTTATTGAAAATCCCTGATGAAGTGCTGTGCTTCGAGCTCTCACAATCTTTTGCATTTCTCTTACAATTGTAAACAGCAGCATGAGTACTGTCATGCCAGCTTCTAAGGAGATGGGAGATAATTCATCCAATAATGGATCATTTTATATAACTGTCATCTATTTTGTACACTAGTTGTTTGTACTTTGGTTAAAACAGGCAAAAACGGTTAGATAAATGATCCAAAAGAAAAGAGGAGGGTCATGTGGTTTCCTATCATAGACTAAATAAGAAAACAATACTTTGATAGCAAGATATCATTGCAAAAAATTTTACAACATTATTGCGACTTAACAAATTTTTTAATGTAATTAGATTGCCATTTCTAAGCTATTTTCTTATTGCAGGGTTTGACAGAGGCCATGGCCTTAGATAGAGCGGAATAGAAACATAGGATTCATGTAGCCGACCCCAAGTGGTTGGGAAAAGACTTTGGTTGTTGTTGATGTATGTTATGAACAAAAAGAAATTCCACGAGTCATATCCCAAATAGTACATAATATGCATTACAATTTCATGGTTACAAACTTGTCTTGGTAAAAAAGAAATAGTTTTGTGCTTATTAAATAGGTATTGAAAAGAAATAAATTTGAAGTAGCTAGAAGTGCAAGCACTTAAAATTTAAATAACAATATTAATATGCATTACAATTTCATTATTACAAACTCGTCTTGGAAAAAAAATAGTTTTCTGGTTAGTTAAATAGTTATTGAAAAGAATAAATTGAAATAGATGGAAGTGCAAGAACTTCAACTTTAAAAAAGAATAATTTGGACTCATCGATGCGTGAAAATTAATCCATTGTGCCTTAATGTGATTTTCCTCCCAATAGGATCACAATACTCCTGGAAATAAGTAAATGATGCAAATAGCTCTCAGATGGTCACCCTCCAAAATATAGTGGCAACCTTCAAATCATGTGCACTCACAATCAAAAGCTTGACTCATTAAATTATGCCCAGTAGATTCTCGAATTCGTCAAATATTGTGAATGAAAACATCGGGAAATTCAGCAAGAGATGGCCAGAATTCTGCCTGAAAGTTGCCACAAATCTTCCAGAAAACTCGTCCAAACTCTGCCTGAAAGACAACTGGGAAGACGGCCAAAAAAGTTAGCTGGAAATCTTCACCAGAAGATTGCCAGCAGTAGAAGCTAAGAGAAACAGAGGAATGGGACTAATAAGATGGCTACCGAACAGCCCAATTAATATGATCTTAGCCAAACCACGATTCAAAATGGAAGCCCATACTTTTAACTTAGTGTAAACAGTACTCCTGAATGAACCTCTTTAAATTACTTCACCTGAACAATGTAGGACAAGGATTCTTTATAAAATTTTGCAGCATCCAAACAACATATTGCAACAGATTACAGTAAAAATGTATAACATGCAATTACAGATAAGATACTAAAATTTGTTATGTGTAAAGAATGAGCTCAAAGCAAGACAAGGGATAAGAATTCGAATTCCATCAACCATTTCACTAACAAGAAATTATAACAAACCAAACGTACTACAGTAACCATCAAAAGAGATTTTAACAACTTATTTTTTAATTTAAAAAGAAATTCCTACCTCATAAACGCACGAATCAGACATTCCTTCAATATCCTCTATCGGTCTATCCAGCACTAAAAGTACAAGCAATCGTCTGATCTGATGTCATGTTTAGCACAAAAATCCTTCTTTACCTCCACTTTGCTAAATCAATACAAACAACGCAATATGAAAGAGAGAGTGTGAGAGAGAAGGAGAATTAAAATAAATTAAAAATCAAAAAAAAAAAAAAAAAAAAAAACAAAAACAAAGGGTTAGAAATCGATAACAACACACTCAAATAAACTATAACCGTGAATCATCTCCTCCCCCAGCCTCCGTTTGGTTGCTGAGAAAGCAGATGAAATAAACAGAAAAATGCAGATTCTAAGAATAATTCCTAAAACTAAAACACACATATCAGCAAAAGTAAAAGAGTTACTTAATCCAGATTTAGTGAAGTGTTTAGTTTTCTATAGTACCAAACAGTAATAACAGAAGTCTCAAATTTTTGTGTTCTTTTCTTTCAGCAAATCTTCTCAGCAACCAAACAAAGCGTAAACCAAGACCACAAGTTTATCCCAGATACCAAAACAAAAATAACACCGTTATCACTATGTACACAGGAAGACTGACAAAATAATAATAATAATAATAATAATAATAAAACTTAAAATTTCAACTAAAATTTCACTTGCCCGGACTAAAAAAGCTTAAAATTTCCAGTAAACACCATTTCCACCAAGATCTCAACGGAAAACTCACCGGAAAATCAGCGATTAACAAGAAAGGTGAACTTGAAAGAAAATCCAAAGCTCAGTCAGAAAGCAACGAAGATAAAACCCTAATTTGGATTGATGCTGATAGAGAATTTCGGAGGTTCGAGAGAGGGCGCTTTAGAAAAGAGAGAAGAAAATTTGGGTTTTTTTATTAATATTTTTAATTTTTCAATAAAGGTAGGTCACGCGTGGAGCGACACGTGGCGTGGAAATCAAAACAATGACTGGAAGGGAGAGAGTGTATCAAAATTCGTGGACGAGAATGAGGGTTGAGATACGATCAGATTCTGCAATCTGATTGGTTAGTTGTGTGTGAGGTTATAAAATGGTGACACGTAACTGGGTGGGACCACTTGGCACAGAATCTGTGGTACAGTGCGCACATGGTGTCTCGTGCTATTGC